CACCCCTTGATTCGACATGTTGCAGGATGAAGAAGTGTTGAGAAAATGGAGGAGGTCAAGCTAATCTGCATACTCTGTGCTATACTCATACCAAAGAACTACACATGTTATTACATGCATTCTTATATCATCAGCAGACTAACAACACATATGTTGCTTAATTTCAACCGGGAGGTACTTGCAGCTTCAAGAAGCGCATGAATTGGGCTACGGGCATGCACTCTTCTGGGAATCTTTGGGTGGAACATAGATTGACCTAAATAATAGCAAGATGAACATCATGGGGGACTCGCAAGAAATAGTGTGCGTATGGATTAATTCATAAGTTATTATCCTGAGAAACAGTGGATCTAACATAGATCTCGTCCTCGTCTGCTTCGTTCTGGGATTTGGAGTAGGAACTCTTTACGCACGTGATCGATGAGAGGAGTGTCTCTCCTTTTTCCAGTTGACATTGGGCAGTCCACTCAGCCACCGCCCAACCAATCAATCTACGAGCAGCCAAGAAAGTGCAGGATCTTGGGTAAATCGGTACATTATGAGATAGATAGAATTAAACATTTATGAAGAATTGGGAAGTATGTGTTCTTTTCTTGAAAAGCAACCCTAGAATGGAACTGATGTTTCATGGAAATATTATTAATATGTAATTGATATGTATTATGAGGTCTCTATGTGATTATGTTTCTATCTGTATCTTGACTATAATCACTCTTGTATATATATTATCACGTAATCCTAATTTGGGCCAAACCACTATAAGCACTCTATCTTTATTCTATCTCAGACTCTAAAGATTCACATGTTATTGGAGCAGAAAAACACATTAAGTTCCTCAATATCTCTACCCCACAACTCAGAACTTCCTTTACTCATATTTCTATCTCAACATTCAGACGCATCTCTAGTTTTTTCTTCTTCTCCACCACCTCTTTAACCATTCTCTTATGTTTCCTAAATCTCAATTATCCATCTCCCCAAAACTACGCCCAATTCCACCTCTTCTTCCCTCTTCCCTGCTGCTCCGATTCCTATTTACAGTCCCACACTCAACCTCGTTGTCTCTTGTTGTTCACAACATCATCTCTATCAAGCTTCATGCACACAATTATTTTTCGTGGAAGTCTAAGTTTGAGCCTATTCTAATTTACAACGATTAGCTGAGTTATGTCGATGGATCTTTTTTGTATCTGTGTAAAGCCTGTCACTCATCATAATGGCACAATGGAGGTCAATCCTCCTATTTCACCTAGGTTAGGACAGTTTAGGGTCTGTTTGGTAACGCTTCAAATTCTCTGATTTTTTGTTCTTTTGTTCTCTGGAACAAAAAAAAAGAACAAAAATCCGTTTGGTAATGTCAGTCAATTTTTTAGTTCCCTAGAACAGAAAAGCAGCCAGGGAATAGATTTCAAACAGAATCAAGAAGTAAAAAAAATTTCTTCTTGATCCTGTTCCAAATCTATTCCTGAACCCTAAAACCCTAAACCCTAAACCCTAAATCTCAATACCTAAATCCAAAACCTCAAAATCCTACCCCTAAAACCCAATACCCGAAACCCTAAATCCTAAAACCTTAAACCACAAAATGCCGAACCCTAAACCCCAAACCCCATACCCGAAACACTAAACCCTAAAACCTTAAACTCTAAATCCTACACCCAAAACCCGAATCCCTAAAACCCAAAAGCCCAAACCCTAAAACCCCAAACTCAAAACATGAAACACTAAACCCCAAACCAGAAACTCCAAACCCAAAACCCTAAAACCAAAATCCTAAAACCATAAACCCCAAACCCTAAACTCCAAATCCTAAAACCCCAAACCTCAAAACTCCAAACCCGAAACCCTAAACCCCTAAACCCTAAACTGCAATTTCCTCGATCATAATCCGGTATTTGCTTTGTCTATAAGGAGTAATTTTCTTTGTAATTGTATTAAGGTAATCCAATTCTATATCATAATATATTCTTATTATATTTCTAGTCCAATTTTATCCAAACATGAAGAATTGTTAAGTCTCCACTCACATTTTATACTTAAATGAAAAAATTGGGAGTATAATTTTTTAAGGTCGTACCGAACGCATTTATGTTCTTTTTCTATTCCGAGAATAGAAATTTTGTGCGGTTACCAAACGCATTTTTTTGTTTAGAAACTGTTCCCGGGAACAGAATTAGAAAAAACTGTTTATGAATAGAAATTGTTCCCAGGAACATAAACGTTACCAAACAGACCCTTAGTGGCTTTGTAGTTTGATCAATTCGACCCTCACAATCCATATTTTTCATAAGTTCATGATTTTGAGCATCTCAATAGTTTGGCTCTCTCTAGGACAATGCTTTTAATTGTTGCGTGGCCAAGGAAATTGGAGTAAAGCTTGATTTTTAAAATGTTGTCAAGAAACCCGACCAGTCCATCTTTTACCATCTTTGGCATCTGAAGTCAATTACAGACTCTCTTATCACAATCAATTGCTCCATTTCCGACAACTACTTGGTGATTTAAGCCCTTAATGAACTCCCATTTGAGTAAGATCCCTTTTATCACCATGGTCACCAACGGCTCATTCTCTTATTCGATGATCAGCAGCCATGACTCCTCATGTAGGAAGAATGATTTCCTCAAAATTGAATGCCTCGTCTTCATCCATTATTCATCATGCCTTGGTCGGCCATGCTACTTCACCCACTCCCCCATTCCAAGGGCCTAGTTTTAGGGCAAAAAATTTGGTCAAAAACATGGTGGACAAACCTTACTTGATCAACCGAACTTCCAATTCTCCTATGATCGTTTCAGTTCACTGTCATCATTAGCCCCCTATGTTGATCGCTCCTACACCTCCTCTAGTTGGCTCCATGGTGGTCGAAGGCCCAATGTTCCTCCATTTATCCAAATCTAGGCCTCACCTTGTTTGTCATATCTATAACAACTCTGAGTACATTGCACTATAATGTCAATTATTGTTTGACCATACCAATACAACTCTCACTAAAGTTCTACTTTTAGTATTATAGATAAGGTAAAATATACTTAAATGGAACTAGAGTAATATTAGACCAATACGATAATACAAAGATAGCACATTTATTGTTGATTTAGCAAATGAATTGAAATGAAAAGTATTCTAAAATCTAGTTAATATTGAAATTATGAAAATTGGTGAATAGTATTAAACATTTGATTTGACTTTGCTACGAAGAAAGCTAAGGGACTAGATTGAACAAAATGAAAGTTCAAGGACTAGATTGCACATTTTGCACTAGTTTAGGAACTTGCGGTGACTTTCTCCCTGGTTTAATCAAACAAAAAGACTGCACTGAACATTTAGAATAGTTTGAAGGACCAAATTAAACGAATTAAATCACCAAGAATGATATTGCACATTGAACCAAAGTTTATGGACTATTATTGTCATTTTTCTCGAGATCTATGACAAGACTTCGACCGGTTGAAGCAAAATTTCACATAGTCTAAGGATGTTTTTTCCAGCTTCCACATTTACGGTTGCTTTTAGCCTAGATAACGTTAAAATTTAAAATTCTTAAGGTGATACATCTCCCCCCAAAAGTAAATAACTTGCTTGTTCGTATAAGACATCCATCCCACTTATCACTTTAGAACATATCGCTTAGCAATAAAACTTAGCCATAACTACAACTTAGCAAAGCATAACGGCATCAAGCAACACAATTACATCAAGCGTAGAAACTGTTGTCCACATTTGAGCGTGTTCCAAAGGTTGTCAGAAAGGTATGTCATCCAAATCACCAGGTAAGACTGGAAGATGAAGTTAGGGTCCGTTCGTTAGAAGGAAAACTGTTTCTGAAAAATTATTTTCTGACTTTCCGATGTCTGGATCATGGAAAACTAATCGATTTACGGAAAACATTTTCCATGGACTAAAAACAACAATCTTAGATTGGGGGAAAACAACCTCCCATTCTCAAAAGAAAGACATCAATATCCCTAAACTACCAAATAAATGAAAAATAACCATTTTTCTCCATATTTTCCTTAATTTTGAAATTTTCAATGAAACAAATGCACCATTGATGTTGATCGAAAAGATATGTAATGAACTTTAATATCGATTGTTGGTCTAGAATGTAGCCAACATGGTGAATCCAATGTCAAGAATGCAATATAACTGCTGCTAGCCTTGGTGGTTAAATATGATATTTGATGTTATATTTTCCATTTTCGTTTTCATTAATTTCACATGCGCTCATTATGAATGAGAATAATAATCTTCTTCAAATATAAACAATGAAAGACGAGAAGTTATGATCCCTACAGTATAGGGTTTCTCAATTTTTTGAAATTATCATCTATTGTACCTCACCATATTGTGCACACAAAATCTTGTGTTTGAGGGCAAATGGAAAAACAAGAATAAGAACAGAAGATAGTGATTGGAAAATTAGATAGGAAGAGATATCTACAACATTGGGTGCAAACGACATCGCATTTGCATGCACTTGTTGCGCTCGGTTATTTGACGATAGAAGTTGCACAAAGAAGAAAAAAGAAAAGAAAAGAAAAGAAGATAACATGCATAGTTCCAATTAATAAAACTAGCGATCTCTTTCTGTCAACTTACAGCCGATAGAAGAAATCTAGATCCTCAACAGAGGAAGTTTTAGCTAGCAGAGCCCTAGCACAATTTGATACTTTCGAGTGTTTTTTTTTTTTTGACCAAATGACACTCTCGAGTCAAAATTCGAATGATCGTATCCATAGCTATACGAGGAAGAGGTAATCTGTCATTTCTGGAACAAAACTGAAAGAACATCGCATATCAGAGTAATTGGCTGATAAAGCTCAAAGACATGTTAATGTTAATGTCCTATGCAGTCTTCGCTGATTTTTAACCTTACCCGTGCACAACCTTCTCTCTGTGTGGTTGCATCATGCTAGGTTTTAAGGCATTTGATGCCTGTTTTGCTTGAGATTGAGAGGCAAATGGAGGAAAAGAAAGAACAAAGTCTTATGCAGACCGCTTGTTGAGAATTATCAGTCGTCTCATCTGCGCTTGCATTTAAGGAAATTCAAATGCGGCACTGGCTCAGAAAGGAAAACAGGAAGACATTCAAATGACTATGGAGACAGAGTGCACCTTTTTCAACAATGAAAACCCAACCTAAATTGTTCTGCCTATAAATCTAGAAAACGCATAATAGTAAGAGACTTATGAAACTTTATACAGGTCTGAGGAAACACGAGCAAGAAAGCACGAGAGCAATGGCTTTGATCAGAAGACGGGGCATCCCTTTATGGCAACTCCTTTTGCAGTTGGACAAGTGGCCAAGGGACATCCTTCTGGATTGTTTCCCCACCAGTCAACGGAGATGTCCTTTGACTGCAGAGCGAGAAACAGCAGCAACGTCATGAATGCGGTTCCCGCATCAAGACCTCCAGAAAGCACGTAATTGTAGCGCTTCCATGATTCCGGTCTATACCGGAAAACGACAAATCCAGAGAGGAAGCCGATCACGATCCAAGAGGTGAAATTAATGGCAGAAGCAGGCGGCATCATTGCTGTTGAACCTAAGAGGACGGGCATGTGGATTAAGCGGATCCAGTTTTGATTGGGGAATGCCTTGTGTGCGAGCCAGACTAGCAAAGGCGCGACAGCCCCACCCAGGAAGAACCAATTCACATTTCCGTACTCGCCAAGGTCCCCAAAAATTCTACGGGGCCCGACAAGACCCCAAATGACAGATGCATCGAAGAACACGCCATCAGGTGGGCAAGTCCATGGACTGTCAGGCGGCAGCAAGGATGTGTCACAAAGGTTTGGGACAGTCTCCATGAGCCACCAAGCTGTTAACAGGTACACAATTACGGATATTACTGTTCCAACGACCTGAAACAGAAATCAACATTCTGAGGACTTGACGGTTAACCTGCTCAATTTTCCACTGAAATAGTGGGTTAGCCAGAAAAATCCCAGATCTTGCACATAAGTCAGTCTGATGCTATATTTTGAAGTATTGGACAATTGAAAACCAATTCTGAAACCCCTTAGATTATTTTGACGATCACAAAACCTTATAAAGTATTTAATGAGTTCTCTGGGTGAATGTAAAAGAAGTATAACAGGTTAAATATCTTTTACTAGTCTATGCTATCACAAGTGACCTACACCAATGGAAATATCAAGTGGAGATACATGTTTTAAATGTTACATTCACCTGATCATTATTGAAATGGAAGGAAACACAAGTGGACATATTAAAAGATATATGTTCTACATCACTGATGCAGAAGATTGCATCAGTCATATAAAAGTTCCCATATATAAATCAAGCTCGTGGAAATATAATTATTCAAGACCCACCTCATAGACAGTTTTTTGCTACAGCAGACCCAATTTTGGCAAAGATATACCTTGATTTATCGGATTGATGACGAATCAATGATTACAATATACACGTATATAGGAGACTGCATACATGAGTCAAATGGACTGATTGGAAAATATCTGCAATAGCCGATTTCGTGGACCAACAACTACATTATTCAAGGAAACTCAATTTGATGCAATGGCTATTGATTCAATACTCAACGTTCAGATTTGGAGATCTATATATACGAGAAGCGAAGCTATGAAACTGTTGATTGAGTAGTTGCACATAGGTTATTCTAAGTCTGAGAGTCGACAGTTTCTTTGTAAATATTCTCAACACTTGTTATACATTTGTACACACTTGAGTATATATGAGAGAGAACAAGAGTATCATTAAAAGCGTTCGAAGAACCTTTTTGTTCTGCAAACACAGGGAATTGTGTTTTTGTCAAAGTGTTTGACAAAGGGATTTGTAAATCCACTGTGGGATAATGGAGAGGTTGTGAGAGCTCTAGTATTGTTGTGGGGCATCAACAGAAAGAAATGATCGATTCTGCTGTAGGGCACTACCAGAGGAACTAGTCTTGCCTAAGATAAACTGCGGGAGAAACAAGTTTTTTGCGGAAGCAGTCTGTAATATTTGTTGATACTAGTAAATATGGCCTAATTGGGCTGCCAGAGCTGGAAGAGTGGAGTAGCCAAAAGGAAAACTGAACCACCACTATAAATCTCGTCTTGATATTCTCTATCCTTATCCCTCATTATTGCTTGCACTTGCATTGACCACTTTCATTATTGCATTCACGAGACTGTTTACAGAAGCTTCAAAATTTGCAGTTTTTAGAAGTTTTAAAATTGGCACTTGCCAGAAAAGAATCTGAAAAATCTCTATCTAGTTAAGTTTCGACCAATTCAAACCCCCCACCCCCTCGTTTGGTTGTTATATTTGAACCTAACATGCAGAAATTCCAATCCAAAATGATCTATCCTCATTTAGGGTTTAAAATGTAATCAAGCCTAAAAAAATTGATCAAGAGATGAAAAAACCCCACCTGTGCCATGAACATTGACCTAGGTGGAATCTTCATGTAATGGCCCAGCTTGAAGTCTTGCAGAAAAGTCAGAGCTTGAGTCATGCTTATATATCCGTAGACCTTGAAGCACATGTTTGCAACAGGGCGCTCTGGGTACATATAACCAATGACATATTCGGTGATGATGTTCAAACCGGGTGTCTGTTACCAAGGAGAGCACAAAAGTTGGGGAGCATTAGTTCAAGGATGAAATTTTCACAATTGGAGTAAAACATAATTCGCATTGATGGTCATGTGTGAGTTCATGATACACAAATATAAAAAGAGGTTGAAGAGTTTCAAGTTCCGTACCGTACCTGATTTGTGGTTGCAGTAATTATACCAATCGGCAGGGTGAAAAAGATTGCAATGCCACATGCCAGTAATATGCCCCACCATGGCAATTGAAGAGTCTCTTTGTAGTGCTCACAAGCAAAAATTATACAGGCAATGTTAATGACCAGGATAGCAAGAAACCACCACATGGGTACTGATTGGTATCTCTTCATGAGCCTCGTGTGTACATCCATTTTTTTACTCCCTCCAAAGGCTTTTTTACTTTGCTTCCATAGGTCACTGCATGAAGAAGAGGCAGAGCAAGTAAAATTAATATTAGATCAAGGGAAAAAACACTCTGCAAGCACTCATCGCCGCCAAGGTGATTTTCTTTTCTTTTCCTTTTAATGACATCGGGTGTCTAAGTCTCTAAGAGCATGTGACTAATCCAATTGGATTGCGATAGTCGCATCTCACTACAACAGGGTATTAAGTCTAAACCAACTTTTGAGATAACAAGTGAAATTACCAAGTTGACAAATGAAGTTTTCCTGGTTTAAAAAATATATAATGAACAGAATCATCATGAAATTTACTTTATAAAAAGCAACGAAGGACTTGGATATTGTGGAATCTTCATGCTGATAATATTGTTCAATTAATGTCAAGGCACGAAGAAACCATAAGACGGAAACAATCAAATAAATCCCAAGATATGTCAATATTCCATCAAACGTTTCAATCCCATCTCTTTCTGTGTGACAACTTGCACTGTGCAAAAAAACCAATACTCGATAGTATTTACCTTCCATTGAAGAGGAAAATATGGACGACAGTAGCCGAAAGTGTGGCAAAACCAAGGCCGTAAGTCATTGCAAAGAAGGTGCTGAGATGTATTGGACCATTCCTGGCATATGCAGCTCTATCAAGATGGAACTCGGAATTCACGATCGTGGCAATGTCATACTTTGTACCATTTGACAAGAAGAGAGACTGGGAAAATATCGGGAAGGTCTTGGCGTTGTACACATCAAACCAGTATGAAAGCGGCGTCATGACATACATTACGAGGAAGAAACCAACTGCCACATTCGCAGTCGCAAACCATGGACTAGCTAATGGACTCCCAAGGTATGATGAAATGGTAGCCCAATCAAACCCGACAGAACCAATTCCAAGGCCCTTTTGGCCCGAGCCAAGTTGTTGAACAAGAACAGAATTAGGAGCGATCCAACATACCCAAGAAAATGAGGTTAACATCATAAACAAATAACCAGGAAGGACATAGTAAGCAAAGCTGGTGATCAATGCAATGACGAAGAATTGGTCCCTGGTGAAGCTGCCTTTCTGCCTTTTTTCCTTCTCATGTAGAGCCCTGCGATTCATAACAATCCATTACACAATCAGAAAGAACACCACTCCATATGATGCCGCACAGAATATAACTACCTGAATAGGGATACTTGGACCAGATTGTACGGCCACCACATTTCCCCTGGCTCGACAAGATATTCCCGGAATAGACCAGCCCAACCAAAGCCCAGAACCTATGATAAATTCCAGAATATGATGTGTTATGGTCATGAAGTAGATCAAGACGGCTTCTTGTCAAGAAAAAAATTGAAGATTTTGGATAGAATTCATCTCGCCAGAACCCAACACTGAGTTCAGATTGCACTATATGATATATCACTCTGTTGCTATCACCAATTCACAGCTACCATAAACAAAGTAACGAGAAAAAAAATCCCAGAAAAGAAAGCTTTGTCGTCAGAGATCTCCACAAGATCACTAGTAATCAGACCTGAGTAGTCATCATCACCAAAAAGGCGGGAAGAATGGTGAGCTTTCTCTTATAATAAAGCTTGACGGAACTCAAGATATGCGTGGCATACACAGTGCCTGCACCAGAATTTGCAAAAATAGTGATCAAGACGTGCTCCTTCATATTGAAAGGCCCGGGGTTCAAACTGAATTCCCACTTCGTCCCCTGGAAGAAGATGCGTTTCGTTATCGTCCTCGCCATCAGATGGCCGATGGGCACCACAGCTATTTGCGCGGAGATGGACGTAATGGACAAGGGGTTCTGCCTGTACCAGAAGAACTGGTTAACGAAAGAGAGTATGACGCAGGCTCCGACGCCCAGAACCCACATTCTGAACGTGAGCACGGGCTGAGTCGGGTCGTCGGTTTTGGGCACGGTCAGCTCCACCTGTTTGACGGGGCATTCCTCGTCGAGCTCCTCTTCCTTGCCCTGAACCTGAAATGTCTCAGCCATGGCAATGGTGAAAAGACGGGACTCGCTTTCAGAGGGATGTTTCACCGGGTGCCCCGAGAGAAGCCTATCTCAGTGGAGAAACACAGAGACGTGCACAGAGAGCATCAGTCTGCGGAATGCATCTCAAGAGGCAGGGCAAACAGAAACAGAGTAGGAGCAGATAAAGGGTACAAAGAGCGCGAAAGCAAAACGTAATCCCATCAGATGAAAGAGGACGGAACGGAAAAGTTCAAATTTGTTGAGGATTCCGCAGATTCAGATGTACGGTTGGGCTAAGACTTTTGGCAACCGAATTTTGCGCAAGAATATCGCGGTGTGAAAAGCTTTGCAGGTAGAGTGCCGGGCGTGGGAGGACGTTTCTTTGCAGACAGATACAAGAAAACTGCCCCTCTCGCTAGCACCTCCATCGCCCACCTGTCACTCGGAACTGCATTTTCAATAAGGTCAGAGTGTCTATACCCACCGCCTTGACGTCCACATTGTTTGCATTGCTAAAACAAACATCAACTCTCTCTCTCTCTCTCTCTCTCTCTTCCCGATTTTAATGGGTAAACCACTCTGTTAAACATCGGTATCAGTGTCCTGAATAAGACCTACCTTGTTAGTATAAAAAAACACTGGGGACGAGATTTCAACTGATTTCATCAGAGAAAGATATTGACCTGGAGCTGTATCATTGTTTGGTACGAGGCAAAAGCACGAGGAAGCTCCGGCCCACCAAAATCACTCGAGAGATGGTTGGGAACAACAAGATTAGCATTCAATTCAAATCCAAGCAAGTCAAAGTTTCGAAAGTTTGGCCTTTTTTACCGATCTGATGAGGATAAGGAAAAGTCACCCACATCTTGAAATTGACCCCCAACGCAAACCATTCAAAAAGGAGGAGATATAAGAAAAAAAATCGCACAAATAAAAACCAAAAGAGCGTCAACAGCTTGGTTCCACCCACAAGAAACTGGTCTCCACTCCCAACGTAGGAATTCGATATTTTTATGTATCCTTTCTCCTTTCTGTAATAAACAAAGTAATAATCTTTTTGATGGTGAAGGAACCCCAAGCCGAACATGGCCGTATCTAAGACGGGCTAAGAATCTATAGGATGATCCATTACTCAAGTGGGGCGATAAAGGTACTAATTTTTGTCCCCATCAATAATGCCCGGGGGGGTCCATGACAGGACCTCGAGTTCAGTGCCCAAAACAAGATTCCAACGTTTAGGCTCACAAAGACAGCCCACCCACCCCCCCCCCAAAGAGGAATCAGGAACAACTGTAAAATAGAAAAATGCAGAATGGAGCAACAGTAGTTTTAAAAATCATCATAAACTTTGCTGTCTTCATCGTTATTCTCAGCATTGCCCTCGATACAAACGACTACAATGCTTCTAGTGAAAGTATAGCAATAGGAAGCAACAGCGTTCGGAGTCTCATCCAGCAAAGCGCAAAACAGAAGCATGACATCAGTTCTGTGACAATAGTGCTTTCTTTCTATCCCACAAGCAGATAACCATCACGATAACAATCATCGATGCATTAGTGCACACATCCACAACAAGATCAAAACTCTATGAGGTCGAGAAAAGAACAGTCGGCAAACAGGAAAGGCACGGGCGAAGTTCTGCAATCTTATATTTTCTTCTTGTCTAGCTGCAGGCAATAAGAGAGTGGGGTATTGAAAGAAGAGAAGCTCCCAAAAGGAATAGTTTAAGATCATTCCTCATAAAAAGGAACTGCGACGAACTTCCACAAAGAACTGGAAGCAAATTACAGGACTGCACCTGGTAAGCAGGCTCAAACAATCAAACCGAATACCCATAAATTGCTTGACAGAACTTGCAAGGTTCTATCTAGCTAGATAGCTAGAGAATGACAAACTTAGAGAAATGAGATTGCACTCACAACCTCCTTGAAGACTGCTTACATTTCATTGTTAGACAGAGAGCAGATAATCGGATAGCAACTCACAGATTCTATGGCTTTGAAGTAAGCTACATATTTAATCCACAAAGCAATTCTTAATTCAAGGTCATCAAATGCAGAACTTTGGCAAATATAAGAACTGGATGACTAGAAGTTGGCTTGGTGGTGTCAACTATCTAGGCACAGTGAGGAACTGACCGGGCAACCACTTTATTTCTTCCCCTTTTTGCTAAGCAATGAAATATCGAGGTGTTAATGGATATCCTAATTCCTCCATAGCACTAATCATACCAGGTGATGAGTTTCCTGACAACAGTAAAAGGAGAATAGGAGTATCATTTTCAACAATCGAGTGAGGGAAGGGGGCAGTTAAATTCTCTAGCATTTTAGACCAAGTACCAAAAATGCCCAACGAGCTATTGCTTATGGTGACCTGGAAAGATCAAGCAAAGAAATCTTCTTTTCTACTCCGTAATTTCCATGCAAAACCCCCTAAAAAGTAAAAAGAATTTGGCCTCTTTTGATAGAGCATTCAGAGATACTGTTGACATCCATATGCCATGATAATAACACCCAACACACAACGGAGAAGGCAATAGAGTCTTCAGATGTTCAACTATATATAAGTTCCAGGACATAACAAAATGCCAACAGCAATTAAGTCACATACATAGATAAACATAGTCTGCAGTTCTAACAGAAAAGAGTATCAGTTTTGTAGCTATAAATATGGATAATGGGACATGCGGCTTATGCCAGTCCTAACAAAAACTTCAGTTCATGTTGGTCCTATCAAACCGCCATTTTGGAAATTTGTATAACTCTCGAAACGGCAAGGCTCTTTATCATCGGTTATAAAGTATGTACCCTCCCAAATACATGTGATTCCTACATAGCAATAATGTTGCCAGACTTTAGCTCAATTTCATTGTCCCAATATGATGTTTTGCAAAATAGCATCTAAGGGACCTGAAATATAATACGTTAACTGGTTGGAAAACGAGGATGATCACCCGCAAGACAATGTAAATTAGCGCTTGCCACGATACCCCCCACCTGACTTTGCACCAGGGTAGCGAGCAAATTGCAGCCTCAGTCTGACCGAGTCACGGTCCTGCTCATCAAAGAGATAACCTGCAAAAGCGAGCATGACTATTTTATGCTCCGACTGAGCTTGTGTTTCGGGAATTATGGCCATCAGCCATGGAAGATAAGAGACGCATCGGGAAAATTCTATTCTTATCTCAAGATTTTTCTATTCTGACTTCAAGACAGCCTACATTGCATAAGAGCCGCTTTGGTCCTAGAAGATAAAAGAAGACTCTCTATTGTAGGTAATGGATCCTGGATTTCAAAACAAAATCTCTCTGATCAGGCCTCAAATGCAACCCGATCATAAGGCAGAAATGGAAGATTTGCAATAACTGAAAACAGCTGCTCCTCTTACCCCCAGAAAGAAAAAAAAAACAACGCTGCTTTAATTTGTTGTTACTCTCATAAAATGACTGCTAGAGGAAAATATTATCACAAGAATCTCAGTGGTTAGTATGATTGATTGATGCATTAAAAATTGCGACATCGGAAATGCACACAAAATTACAAGATGGACAGCAACCGTTTGCTGCTCTCTAAAGGACAGAACAGAGGGAAACACAAATTACTAGGGGGAAACCCAAAAGCAGAAGAAAAAGAAAGAAGAAACTAATGGGTATCAGAGATTGCCAACTCTGTTTACTCAAGGATGACAGATATAAGCCAGAAATTATACCATGAATATAAAACCATAAGTTGAAAATGCTGTTTTAGGGTGAACGTACCTTGTAAGGCATCCTTGGCAGTGGCTGCTTGGGCTGGACTCACAAAATCAACAAAACAGAGCACCACAGGATTTTTCCCAGTCTGCAAACATCCATGTAATCAGTCTTCATTTATTGATTGATGCATGTCCAATACATCAGCACATGATTTGGTTTACCTGTCGCGATTCCTTGTTCACAAGTCTCACTTCTTTGTAGCCAACAAAAGGTCGAAAGATATCTAAACTCTAGTAAAGGAGTACAACCTGTGAAGGAACCAAACCAAAACAAAAGGTAGCGAGTGGGAAAGGATACGAGAAACTTCCCGCCGGGTGCATTTTGGAGGCAAGCCCTCCACAAAAAGTGTATTCGAAGCATCAGGTGGGAGGGGAACCTCAGCCTTCCAACCTTCAAAGGGCAAGGTCCCTTCTGCCATAGGTGTCATTGGGCCCAATCCTGCGACTCCCACCATAGGTAAATCATCAAAGGAGTGAACAGATGTCCCTGCACCTACAAATCCAGTTGGCTGTGCCCCGCTAAATGGCGACATTTGCTGGAAGAACATTTCAATATATTAGATATGAACCGAGGCTTGGATTGAACAAAATCTTTATGCAACGAAGTGTATGACATACAGTAGTATGCAGATAAAGATCATAGGAAGCTCCAAGGGATTCGGTATCTGGGATTCCGGGGAGGGCTCCTCTATTATCATCTATGGGAAGATAACCTTGGAAATCATGGGCAGCACCTGCAGGAACATGTACAAATTTGAAAAGAAAAAATGTCAGGACGAGCAACAATCCACACTGCCGGAAATAAACGAGAAACAGACTGGTAGAAGAGGCACTCGGATAGTGCAGACCAGGTGTTAAGTAAACTAGAAGCCCTCATCATTATCTTCCGGAAATTAGTAAAAGCGCTGCACATACTCTTAATTGGACTAAAACTTTACAAGTTCGATATTTTTACATTTTGAAAACAGCCGCGACTAGAATATTTTAGATTGAACATCCAGTGGCCTTTGGTGGAAACTCATGACAGACATAGAAATTTACTTATCTGATCTTCATACATGAATGGCAACATAAATACATTAAACGGCAAAGACCAAGCCTTAATCTGTTGCTACCGTGAGAGTGACTTGAAGATGCATCACCATCAATTCAAGCCATTAGATACTGAAATCATAATCCCACAGATAGGAGTGACTCAAAGATGCATAACGATCAATTCAAGCCAGAATGCGCTTTTCTCTCGCACTGTTCGGTTTTTTATTTGTGCTAATTAGCAAAGAAACCCCTTTTGAATGTGTAAAAGCAACGTATTTAAGAGCAATGCATCTAAACTATAGAAAGCAATGCCAATGACTTGTTATCTTTGATAAAAAGCCTGTTGAAACCAGATATAGCTTGAGATTACTGACTGAATCATTTTCATCCAACAAAGGTCTAACAACTCTGGCAAAGACTGCCGTGCCCTGTGCTCCAATGTGAAAGAGTATTAATGCAAATACATGGCTCAAATCTATTGCCACCCCCTAGTCCACGTGACCTTCAGGTAGATGGTGGAATGATACATAATTGTTTGACCACTAGCAACGTTCTTTTATCCACCACAAAATTCCCATGACCGAGGAGGCAAATCCCAAAAACCGAAAATGTGCAACCTTGGCATGTGCCCCAGTACCCAGGTACAAATACTCATTCACAAACACCCAATTATCTCTCAAGATGATTTAGCTGCTAAGACAGAACAATGCATGTCCTGGAGTAACAGAAACACCAGTTTATCAGTTGACTTACGAGAATAAGCCAAGAACCACAGAAGTCATGCAAGTGTTCCAGAATGCATATATCTTGCTCGAGTCTCCGGCCCCCCCCATGCGCACGTGCCCATTGGAGGGATTATTAATCTAAAAGCTATAGCCTTTATCCACATTTTTTATCCATGCAACTTACCTAGATCAGAGGAAGCAACAACCGACTGTCGATACATCAGGGACAACCTTACTTGAAGACTAAGTAAGGTTACCACGTGCACTGAATCCACTTATGGAATCCTTGTAAAATCATGGAAGTGACCGTCAAGATGATCTACCAGCAAACAACATGCCGCTAAATTAGCTAGCCTTAAAATTATGGAATTAATGCAGGTTTCCAACATGCCAAATTCTTCATCAAATCTATAACAAGCCTAATGGATACATGTTTTTTTATACACATGGAAGGTTCATCTAAAGCTAATTGACTTTATCCGTGTTTTCCGTCCACCCGAGATTTCCAACGACTAGTGCATTGAGTACTGACTATTAATTTTTCCATATCACAATTAATAGAACTGGCGCATACGCTGAAACACAAATGGAAATCCTAGTCCTCATATTGCAGAACTAACGGTCAGGATGATCTAGCCAGCGTGGCAAGCAAAGACGCGTCCGATGATATCAGCAGACCCAACGCCAGCTCTATCGAAACCGTTGAAACTCATAATCCCCTCCCTGTTAAATCTACACGTAGCATCAACCGACCGCCTGCAACCAACGGCAATAACTACCGCAAACCTAAATCACCATTCGAGGGCCTCCAGATTTCGAGCATTCAAGCTGCCACCTTCAATCATAAGTCGGTCAGTCAACAGACAACCTAAATTACGAAACTTGCATCGAGCAAAATCGGTTTACGCGTTTCGAACATTTTAAAATTGCAACCACAGAGAGGTATGGGCATAATCCACTGCAAATGAACTCCGACAACAGAGCTAGACCATTTGATCGCCTAAAGAACTCATTGGGTTCCAGAGAATTTGGGAAAAGAAGCGCGAACATGTTATCTGGAGAATCTTTCAAAACCGAGGTTAACGAAGGACGAGCTCAACGGCTCGCGGCAAAGCAGCCGAGCTGCATTGAGCTCCGACCGTCTTCATCTTTTCCCTTTTCACGACAAATCACACGTCAGACGAGCCAGAAACGAGGAAACAGAGCTCCCGCTCAAAAGAAAAAAGAAAAGGCCAACCATCTGCCGTCCTCGTCCTCCGTTCGTTTTAATCTATAAGGAAGGCGAAAGCGAATGAGGAGGAGCCCGAGCAAACAAACCCTAGAACCCCACGCCGGAAGGGCGCCGAATCACAAGCGGGCGGAGAAGCGGGGGAGAGGCGATCGGGGAGAATTGAGAGCGCTTTACCGAATTCGGCCCGGGGACGCTTCGCGGGGGGAGGCGGGAAGAAGGGCGCCTGGCGAGGGTCGCTGAACAACTGCTGCTGCCCCCAGTAAGGATCGGCCATGACGCCGCGGCGGAGGAGGGCGGCGCGGGGAGGGAGGAGGGAGGAGGGAGGAGGCGGCGGTGGTGGTGGTGGAGAGCGAGGGAGGGAGGGAGGGAGGGAGAAATGAGAAGGAAAGGAGGACTTTGGACTCAATAAGAGAGAGGGAGACAACGGGAGAGTGTGTGTGTGTGAAGTAGGGGAGTGAAGTTAAATGCGCGCAGATTTTGTTTTTTCGTTGTTTGAGAAACAGGTATCGGGAGTCTTTTTGCTCCTCCTTTTTCCTTTTTTTTCCCCTTCTTTCCGTTGCTTCCGTTGCTCTCGCTCGCTTTTTTTTTTTTTTGTATTTTATATTGTATATATTTTATATATATATGTATGTATATATTGTCCAAGAGTACAAGGTTCTACTATGGTTTTTTAATTTATTTATTTTTGCTAAATTTGAATTGTCTTTTTATTTAAATAAAAATGCGCGGGGAAGGACCGGCCAAAACTGTCGGCCGTTGGATATCTTTACGGGGTACCTACCCGTAATGGAAAAGCGTGTATGAATCGTAAACTGCTTACTCATCATGGTCATCTTATTATCACCGCCGCAATTTAATTTCACGCTTCCTCCCATTTTACTAGTTCCTCCGGATCGATATGCCGTGCCGGATGTTCCGAGAGATAGCGGGGTGGTACGAGTTGTTCTGCTAATTTCATCAAAATGCATGGACTAAATTAAATGATGACACATTAGATCGCTCGTGACATTGGTGAGATGTACATACATATATATATGTTTATGACATGCATTATTGCAAGAATGTGCACAATTTTTTTTTTTTTGGGTATTAATCATTTGACAAACAAATATATGGATATTTGTAATTCGGGTGCGTTCACGTGCTTGCCCTGAGCTTTGGTCCAACTTCGAAAACATTGCATCTGAGTTGTCATATCCTCTGCAATTATTAGGGATTCTACTTTAGCTCTAATTACTAATTAGGCTGAAAATCCCTTTACATAACTTAATTACCATATATAGCAAAAAGAATATCTTGCACCGTATTTAAATCGGCTTCGCCATTTCTCGCGGCCCATATTTAAATTTCTTATTTACAGAATTTTAAGTATTGCCTAAAATTATTAAACCATGTATAATTTTTTTTACTTAATTCAATTACCATAAATGGAAAAAAGAGAGTTTCAACTGTCTTTGCTTAATTGGCCTTGCCATTAATTGCGACCCATATCAAAAATTCATTGTCCTGCTAAATCGGCTTCGCTATTTTCTTGTGCTAATCCTTATATGAATCCACGTTAACCTACGCGAACTAATAAATATTTATAGATTCTAATTTTTTTTCTCTTTTCTTTTATTCGTGCTGCAAATTTATCAAGTTTCCAGTAAATCGAAGTCCTCGGTCGGCGCGTGTTTGGACGAGACCTTTTTGGGAAGTAGAGAGTTAATTTTTATAATTTTTTTATATTTCTTAAAACTAAAAAAGTTTATTTTCTTTACACGACAAATCCTAATCTTTATATATAGATGGGTTAATACCACGAAAAAACCTAAACTGGTACACTTGTGACACATTTACCCCAAACTATTTTTTTGATCATAAAAAACCCTAAACTGGTATGCCTGTGACAATTTTACCCCAAACATATCACAAAAAACCTTAAACTGGTACACATGTGACAATTTTACTCCGAATTAATTTTTAATATACATTTTTTTATTTTTTTGAATTTTTTCTTTATTCTTTTCTTTTCTTTTCTTTTTTTTCCTTCACCTTCAACCTCTGGCCGGTCGCCGGTCCGGCGACCGGCCAGAGGCGGAAGCCGGCGAGGACCGCCCTCGCCGGCGTCGGGCGGCCCTCGCCCGCCGCCGGATTCCCAGCGAGGGCGACCCTTGCTGCGTCGGGCAAGGGCCGCCCTCGCCGGCGTCGGGCCGCCCTCGCTGCGCCGGGCGAGGGCGTCCTCTCTCGCCCGGGGCAAGGGCGACCCTCGCCCAGGCTCGAGCGAGGGTGGCCCTCGCCGGCGCAGCGAGGGTCGCCCTCGCCGGATCCGACGAGGGCGGCCTTTGCCGATCTACCGGCGAGGTCGCCCTTGCCCTGGCGGGCGAGGACGGCCCTCGCCCTCGATGCCGGCTAGGGCGGCCCTCGCCCGCGCGACGGCGAGGCGGCCGATGCCGGCGGCGGCGGCCCTCGCCCGACGCGCGAGGGCGGCCCTCGCCGGGCGAGAGAGGGCGGCCCTCGCCCGACGCGGGAGAGGGCGGCCCTCGCCCAGGCCGCCTCTGGCCGGTTGCCGGACCGGCGACAGGCCAGGGTCTGAAGATGAAAAAGAAAAGAAAAGAAAAGAATATAAAATAAATAAAAATTCAAAAAAATAAAAAAATAATATTAAAATTTTAATTCAGGGTAAAATTGTCACATATGTACCAATTTTGGGTTTTTTGTGGTAAGTTCAGGGTAAAATTGTTACAGGTGTACCAGTTTGGGGTTTTTAGTGGTCAAAAAAATAGTTCAGGGTAAAATTGTCACAGACCAGTTTGAGGTTTTTTATGGTCAAAAAAATAGTTTGGGGTAAATATGTCACAAGTGTATCAGTTTAAGGTTTTTCGTGGTATTAACCCTATATAGATATATATAAATCTCAACGTAGAATTTGATGGTCACCAGATTTTTTCTTCTTTTTTCAAACTTAAAATATTGTTTTAATTCGGACGGAATATTAAAATACAACCGTTTAAGAGGGCTATTCAGCCTATCTAAACCGGCCCTTATCTCGTTTCCAACCTATCGCTTTTAATTAAATTAGGAGAAAGCCCGCCCAATGCGACGGAAAAGGTTATATTTTATTTTGTAAATACACTCACCAAAATGAAAAATTTATATCGATATCATTATTTTCTTAATCGAGAATGTCTTTGTCGAATTTTTATACCTTTAGAACTGAAAAAATTAAGACACATCTCTTATTTTATGTGCGTGGCTTGGAAAAATAAAAGTAACCAATGGATATTATGGTAAATGTGTTAATTTCCCGGCACACCATGTCTTAACGATGCGAGGATTAGTTGAAGTTAAAAATCTATACGTAGAATAGCATTTGATTATAGTATCAAAGCACCTCTGTCCTAATTCTATTTTTAAAGCGATTAGTACTAAGTAGATACGAGAATTATGAAACGATTTACTTATGGATGGAGATTTCGTGTTTTTTTTTAAGGACTATTACTACTATACACTTAAAAGTGAAAGAAAAAAGAGTTATGAACTCGACTACGCGAGTGGGTCGATTACTAAATACGAAGAATAGCGTTTGATTATAGTATCAAAGCACCTCTGTCCTGATTCTATTTTTAAAGCGATTAGTACTAAGTAGATACGAGAATTATGAAACGATTTACTTATGGATGGAGATTTCGTGTTTTTTTTAAGGACTATTACTACTATACACTAAAAAGTGAAAGAAAAAAGAGTTATGAACTCGACTACGCGAGTGGGTCGATTACTAAATACGAAAAAAAGAGTACACTCACGTAAAAAAATTTCAAATATCTTCGATCAGATTGGAAAGAAAACAAAAAAAAAATAAGAGGAGGAGAGAAAAGAAAAATAGAACTTTTACGGAGAATAGGCTTTTTACGAAGAACTTTTACGAAGAAAATAAGAGGGCAAAACAAACGATGAACGTAAGGAAAAGAATTTGTGAAAGAAATGCAGAAAAAAAGAGAAAAAGCTCGGAGCCAAAGACCGAGATCGAACCTCTGACTTGGCTCATCTTACATCAGGTCCAATCACTGATGTATTAATTCTTTATAATTATATTTCGTGCATTGTATAATAACGTTAATACTATCGAAAACCCCAAATTACTATACATATGATAAATTTACTCTCCATTAATTTCTGTTAAAATTTATCATCAAATTATTTAGTTGGATGACAATGTATGTACAAGTTTGGGGTTTACCATCCCTTTGTCACACATGTACGAATGTGTATTTTTTCGTGAAATTAATTCAATTTAAGGAAAACTAATGGAGAGTAAATTTGTCATAAGTGCACCGGTTTTAAATTTTTTGTGGTCAAAAAATTAGTTTAAGGAAAATTTATCGTAAATTTATCAGTTTAGTATTTTTCGTGTTATTAACTCTATATAATATAAATACTAAACATTTTTTTTGGAGGGCCAACTGGCGCAAGACACGTGGCGGCAGCGGGAGAAGAATGTTTAAAGCTGAGATTCCCACGAATCAGAGAAACATAATTGGTCGCTTCCGGAGTACGACACGTGAAATGAGCCCAAGCAGTGAAATTATGCCATGTGTACTGACACTGTCACGACTTGTTGGGGAACCAACGGCCGTTTCGAATGTATGCCGGAAAGCATGTGAAGCGCCGACGAGCCGACGAGCCGACGAGCTCCCGCTTCCACAATTTTCAGAACATCTCCCTCTCATCTTCTTCTTATTCACGCGGCCTGACCAAGGAAGCCCGCCGATTTCGCAGGAAGCCACACTTAATCGCCGCTCGCCGCGCTTCGCCCCCGTCTCGAAGCTCCGATCCAGGACGCAGTGCGCGCACCGACGAGTTCCTCGGCCGATGAAGAGATGCCCACGAACGTGGACTCTCTCCGACCACTCGCGACCCCGTCGAAGAGCTTTGGACAGGAACGACGCTCTCGGCTGTGGGGGGGCTCGTTGAAGCGATGGTCTCGGTCCCGACTTTCTTGGCCCGGTCTTAGACGACCCGAGCTTGGATTTGGGTCGTGCGTTCTCGAGCTGCGATTCCTTGAGCAAGCCGGTGGCTTTCTCGTAAGAAGAGGCCAACCTCGACTCGACGGGCCTCGAGCTATCGATGTCCATCCCGACAATGGTTTCCATTGCCATCCTTCCGCAAGCGCGAGCTGCTAGACCACACTGAAGTTTAATGAGCCTTCGTTGTTTCCAGCCTTGAAGAGGCTGGATGCAGCCTTCACGAACTTTCAAAGCCGCTTGACATCGCTGTCAAGACCCGCTTCATCAGTAACTTCTTCATCGATAACCTCGTTTAAGGTCCCGTTTATTTAGTAAAAAATAAATAATTTAAAAAATATTATAATTTCGAAAAATATTTTGGCATGTTTTTCGCCACAATTTCTAAGATCCATTATCCGTTGGTCCTCTAACTAAGTTTTGACGATGCAGGACACGTGGCAAATCTACATATACGGGCTCATTTCATGCACGGTACTCTCGGGAGCAACCAACAACTCTCTCTCCAAGGGTCAGCTAGTCAACTGTCCGCATCTTCAAATACGTGCTCCTTCACCCTTCTTCAACTCGACATTCAGATAGCACTCGAGCACTCTCTTCTTCTTCTTCTTCTTCATCGGAATCTCATCGCTCTCCTTTCGATGGCGGAATTCGTCGGTCGTCCCTTCTTCAGCTGCAGGAACTGCCGCAACCCCGTCGCCCTCGCCGACGACATCCTCTCCAGGAAATTCCGAGTAAGGGGAAAACGAAAGAGAACCTCCCCAAGAATCCCTCCTTTTTTTGTTTCCTCCTGTCAATCGACCGTGCTTTTCTTTAAGGATCTGAAAAACGATCTCCGATCACTCCCCACGTCAGGTAAAATCGGGGCCGGCCTACATGTTCACGAACGCGACGAACGTGGTCATCGCGAGGGCGCAGGACCGGGAGCTGTTGACGGGGGCCTTCTCGGTCGCGGACATCTACTGCAGCAACTGCCACGAGGGTATGGGGTGGAAGTACGTGCGAGCCTACGATCCGAAGCAGAAGTACAAGGAAGGCCGCTTTATCATCGACCTGTCGAAGATCCTGAAGGAGTACTGATGCCGATGCCGATGCCGGTCCGCGCGTAACCTGTCTCTCTCGCCATTCCCGTCTTCGCTTCTCGTACCGTGTAAGAATAAAGCTGCGTCTCCGCCTCCCTCTGTAAAGAAATCTCTCCAGGCGCTGGACGTCTCTCTCGTCGTGGAAACGACGTCGGATGATGTTCGTATTCACGTTTAATTAAAAACAACGTTTGAATTTACATTATTATTATAACTAAAACAACGTTTGAATGTTCATATTCATATATAATTTATTATAATCTCGCTAGGATTAGAGAACTTAGGGTTTCTTTCCCCTGTTTTTCTTTTTGTTGGGCATAAATAAATATTTAGGAGCAAGGGCTTAAGATCATACCATTGATACAAAATGAATTGGGCCAACAAAAAGAAGAAGAAGAAATAAGCATAATAGGTTATTGTGACACTTCTTGGATACATTATCTCATGAATAGTTTGTACGTGAACTTCAAATTTTTATATAGGACAAAAGGAAAATTCAAGATTTGAAAAATATTTTATAAAAAGTAATCGCTTGTATCGCTTATAAAAATGAACTTATAATTTTTTTGGGGTTCAAACCATTGACTAATTTTCACAAGCGATATTAGCAATTATTTTTCAGAATTTTTTTTCCAAATCTTGATTATCCCGCAAAACAAATGCACTGGTAATTTAGTATGGGATTTATTTAAATAAGCAAGATAAGGCAATGTGGAAAGACCAAAAATTCACGACTAGCTAAAGCAAAGATATGATTGCACGGGTGGCATTTTCGTCTTTTGAAACTGTTTTTACTTCATTAAGTGAGTGCTTGTTGATCCCAAAGCTGCTTGATCTTTATCGTATTAATTATGTTTATAATGTAAACTAGGGTTTGATCCCAGCAGTATGGGTGACGACACAGAGAAAATTAAGAATGATAAATGCTAGTAAGTGCATATCAAATTTCGCACTCAAAATCAATATTGTTTCATACAATCAGGAATCTTCAAATCATTACATTTCTCAAATTTGTCAAGTTTATATAATTAGGAAATCCAGCAAAAAAAACTTACTCTATAGGTGAAGGGACTAAGACGCGAAACTTGACGAACTGGTGTATATACAAAATAAACTTGGGCTCTAATAAAATGTTAGAAAGTTTAACCTAAAAGTTTAAGTTTATAAATAGAAAGAAACCGCATGTATATAAAAAGTCTATACACCTTGCTGATAAGTAATGCATGATGCTTTAACATAGGAAAAATTATCCGAAAAGTCCAAAACTCACTATACGGCGGCCAATTTAGTCCTAAACAGTTTATCCTAAACCTTTTGACAATTTATCAATTTAATCCAAAACATCTCAATTATGCCAGTTTAGTACTAAACCTTTCGTGTATATAAAAGAATCGGCTGAGGATAGTTTGGGTTGCAACATGATTCACTAGGATCTGAAAACGATGGCTTAATTTGGCGCGTATGGAGGCGGGAATAGTCAAATATGGTATTCGTTCACTTGGGCCTTTTATTTGATAGTGTGTTTGTTTGAGTGGAAGAATTTTCCGCAAATTATTAGCTTCCCCGGACTTTCACGCATCTGGTTTGCTAGGAAATAATTAGTCGGCAAAAAGCCATTTACAGTTGCAGAAAACGCGCATTCTTAAAGTTAGGAAAATGAATTTTCATATTCCCGAAAAGTATTGTCCTTTATGATATAAAGCGTTTTCTTTTTTTTTTGACACAAACGTGTTCTAAACTGGGGATCACGGACAGAAGAATCTGGGAAAGCGGGTGAAAGTGATTTGCAAGATTGGCGGTTTTGGGACATTTCTGCCCAACTTTTTCTTCGTTGAACATCATGTCACGACTCCTCACAAAAAAACACACACGAGAGGTCCAATTTTTTCTCTTCTGGGGACGGTTTTTTCTCTCTAAAGTTATCCAAGCGGAAGAAAATCGGCTCAGAAACTTGACTGCCACGCACGAGACACGTGGGACTCTAGTACAAAAAGAAGGGGAAAATTGAGCTTCGCTAGTACCTAGGTACAGCGAGGATTTGAACACGTGACGCCTGGTCCCCTCTCGCTCCATCGCAGCCGTCGAATCCCGTGGGACCCAAGTCCAATCCGACGATCCCGATGAACCGGTCTCCCGGGGCGGCGGTTTTCCGAAGCGGTACGACGTAAAAACCATTGGCGGACCGGGACCCACCCGAGCGGCGCGTGGGGCCCACGGCTCCGCGCACCCCCCCCCGGCTGCTGTTCGGTTCGGTCCGGTCCGGTCCGGACCGGCCCGATTCACCTCATATGGAGGGGGGGGGGGGGGGCATTCCCGGAGCTCCGGAGCTCGCGCGACGACCACGAAAATGGACAAGCGTCGACGAAAAAGATCGCTTCTTTAAATTCCCGTCCGTTCGCTTTTCGTCTTCCGTCAGCGGTTGCTTGATCCGGTGGACGATCGACACCTCAGATACTCATCCGTTCCCCAATATACTAATCCCAATTTGCCTACTGGTGGGGCCACGCGCCCTTCGGTTCGCGTTGGACTTTTCCTCTCTCTCTCTCTCTCTCTTTCGCTTCGAGTTACTGCTTCCCGGTCGCTGATCCCACGAGTTGAATTTTTCGATTGTGTGCTCTTCTGGGGTTCTTTTAATTTTACCCATTTCCGTCCCTGTCGGGCCGGTCGTTCGTTCCCGTGGAAATCTTGTGGCTCGACCCGGAGAGAGTCCCATCCCGCTGCAAGCTTGCACGCTAAAGCCCCTGTTTTGGACTCCTGGGTCGTCGCCAAAATTCTTGTGCGGGTGAGCGGAATCTCCGGTTTCTTTGCCGTCTTGGGTTCGTCTATAGATTCCACTTCTGGGTCTGTTGGTCTTCCGATTGGCGTTTGTTTTTGCTCACTTCTTTAGTTGGCTTACACAGCTTGGCTTGAGTAGAGAGGCTTGAGTTCTTTTGTCCATCAATGGAGGGATTCGTGGGGCCTCGGGTGTACAGCTGCTACAATTGTCGAAACCATGTTGGTCTTCACGATGATATTATCTCCAAGGACTTCCAGGTGAGGCGGGTTTTTTTTTTTTTCCGAGAGAATGTTTGGTTGTTCTTGACTGTTCTGTGGACTCGCGATGTTTCGGTTCAGTGTTGTTTGGGGTTTTTCAACACATTTGAGCGTAGTGCGTGAGTAATCGGTGCGACCCTCGTTGCGTGTCGGCTGTATGAAGTCTATTGCAAAGAGATTGCTGATGGGAAAAAATTTTAATTGAACAGAGTCAGCAAAATGTCTTGTCGTGTCTTAAATTCTGAGTTCATACTCCGTTTATGCCTTAAAGGCCTTTTTAAAGCTGTCAGATAGAAGGTGAGATTTGTCCTTGGCAATTGGCATTACAGTTAGGAGAGGATCTGCCTTTGTCTCACATTAGATGGCTAAATGGTGTTCGATCTCATTACTTTTGTTTTTTGCTATTGGTATTATTTCCAAGTTCTTGTCAGTTATCAAAATTCAAGCATATGAATCAGTTTAATAGGGGTCTGGAGATTGTTGTTCTTAGGGAATAAATGGCCGGGCTTTTCTGTTCTCTCATGCCATGAACATTGTCGTGGGGGCCCAAGAAAATCGTCGTCTCCGCACTGGTCTTCATACGGTTGCCGACATATCCTGTGCCGATTGCCATGAGGTGTTGGGTTGGAAGTATGAGAGGGCCTACGAGGCTTCACAGAAGTATAAGGAAGGAAAATTCATATTTGAGAAGGTGAAGATTGTTAAGGAAAATTGGTAGCGCGCCAGCTGATGTTTATGCTTGTCAAAACATTAATCTTCATAAATGTTCATGCTCATGTGAGTGTGTAGATAACGCGATCTCTGTGTAAAGAGATTTCTCCGCTCATTAAAAATTGGTCCTAGGAACCGGGGAATCTTGCCATGTGTGGTGTCTGGAAGTTGCACATTGCTTTCGCTTTTTGTACATATGAAAATGTCTGATTTTACTTGGATTTTCGCATCCCTTCAGTTAGTAGCTGTGAATTTATAGGTTCTTGACATCGAGCTCTTGAATTTCGAGGTTCCCAGCTTGGGAAAGTAAGCCATGGTATTATGCAAACGTAAGATCGCCGACCGGTTTGTTTGAACATTCACGACTCACAACAAGATTTTCAGTCAAAGTGGCTGCTTTCGCTTTCACTTTTTGTATATATGAAAATGTCCGATTCTACTCCTTACCAAAAAAAAAAAAATGTCCGATTCTTCTTGGATTTTCGCTTCCCTTCAGTTAGTAGCTGTGAATTTATAGGTTCTTGACATCTAGCTCTTGAATTTCGAGGTTCCCAGCTAGGGAAAGAAAGCCGTAATATTATAGAAACATAAGAGCCCCGACCGGTTTGTTTAAACATTCATGACTCACAAGAAGATTTTAAGTCGAAGTGGCTGCTTTGGAGTGTTTCCTTTGTTCTTTTCTTTCCCTTTTGGTTTCTGCAATGCTTCTGGGTTGCTTGCGACGCAGAAGAACTTGCCGCTTGGTGGAGATCTAAGGTATTTTCAATAGTTTCACGTTGTCCTTTCCTGAGATGGACTAAATTTTTACTCTCATGTTTCCGAGTCGAACTTGCTGCTTGGTGGAGATCTAAGGTCTTTTCAATAGTTTCACATTGTCCTTTCTTGAGATGGAGTAAATTGTTACTCTCATGTTTCTGAGTCGATCAAGTCGAGGTGTATTTCCATTATTCCAGAGGTCCAAGAGCTAAAACACACGAGTTTAATGGGATAAGTTGTTCGACCAAAAAAAAAAAGGAGAAGTTGAGCTACGAAGAATCTCTAGATTATGCTTAGGTGGCTTATAAAGACTTGTCCATGTGATTTCATAATTCCCTGTCGCGTTTCACTTTCCTGACTATTATTCTATGAAAGCTCCTTCTCCAGTGTCAGCTATCCTCAAGGCATTCGGTAGTGTTATGTACATAACTGGCTGATTTTTCAGCTTAGGTTTCTGGAAAATGGTAAGTAGTTGATTGTTCAAGTTGAATTTGTGAGTCAATTGTGCTGAACTATCTGACTTCATTGATATGGCGATACCCCTGTATTCCCCGTATCTCACCAAGTCTGTGACAATAGCTTATTATGTGTGCTCTAAAATGGAGTCCGGGTTGGAGGTGGAGATCTCGCTCGCTAGAGCTCGAAACACCTGGTTACCTCTTGGAGTTGCAGATGCACTTTCACCACGTTAACCTTTTCCTTTTTTCCTGGAAAAAGCACAGCCTTTACATTGAATTGGTAGTCTCTGTATTTACAATTCTCTAATGGGTTGTTATAGCTTACTAAAGGTATTGCCACGTGCGAATATGAAAAAGGTCTATGTAGTTAGCTTCCTTGTTGCATCTGTTTCGCGTGCTCTTCTGATGGTTGGCTAGGAAAACGGTAGCCACTGTAAAGGGTGAACTTTGTGGGTCTTTTAAACCTAAAGGAATGACCATCTTTGACAGACGTATTTCTGAAGCAACATTTTTAACTTTTAAGGCTGATTATACATTGTGAAAAGAGATGGTATGGGTGGAACCTTTGTATCCCGTTTCCTGTAACTACTGAAATTTGTAAGACATTGACGAGGAAGAACTTTGAACCCACCTGTCCATATCCAGAGATCAACAACGGAGCCCAAATGCATACACGGAGATCTGAGTCATCTAACATAACTCAGTGCGTTTCGTAGCATAGGCAATTCGATATCTTCTCTGTTATTGTCTGAGGTTGCTCTATGATCTGTTCATCATGCGTGCATGCAAAACCCCACGGGTTAGCTCGGTGATTGAAGACCGGACTTGTTGTCTGACTTGAGCGGACAAGACAAGTTTGATTTCTCAAACTACCGAATACAATCAGATCTAACTTTTGGGCTTTTTTGGATTTTGAGGCGAAAATGTCAGCTGGGTTGTGTCTACATCTTAGTGATATAACCTAAGATAGATTTGCCGGTGGCTTGTAAGTGCTCTTAAACACATTCATTTGGTCATCAACCATCACACAACCGTCGTAAAATCATACTTTTGAATATAGTCATTTCATCGCAGGCCATTACAAAACGTCCCTAAATCTTGATCGAAGAACTTGCCAAGGACGATGCGTTCCCTGATAAATGATCGCGTCCGTGTTTTACAAAACCCAAAGACACGCACCGCGGCGCGACATCATAAACCGCCCCATCCAAAAGAGATTTCATTCAGCTCGACAAGATTACACCAATCGTTTACATTACCGGGCTAAAATTGCCGAGGGCGCAGCAATTGCAATTATAAGAGAGCCATAAATACCAAGATGAGCCGAAAGCTAAAGAAGCTAGTCTCTCTAGGAGTTAACCTTCAGTAGACTGGATGAATGTCACTAGGTTGGGCTCACTCAGCCAGTCTCAAAACCCTATAGCTACATGCAAAAATGCCATGACAGAAACAGAGAGAGAGAGAGAGAGAGAGAGAGAAACTAAATGCTAACACATGTTGTTACCTAATCAGCAATTAGCACCGACACAATAGGGTTTTCGAGGCGCAGCACAATAATAGCAAAAGATGGCGACGACATCAGAACTCAGACCCGTGCATGGCCTGTTTCAGCTTTCACAGAAATGGAGGGGACACGAAGGAAAAGACCGTGGGGGCGAGAGAGAGGGAGAGAGAGGAATGGGATGGCCCCAGTTTGGCAAAAACCCGCACTCCCCCGTCGTCATCATCATCATCATGGCCTTTGCTCGCGACCTTTCACCACTTCGTCAAAGAACAGACGTTAGAATAATAATTGCAGCTTTTACGGCTGCATACCAAGTTGCGGAATTCGTGCATGGTTTTCATTGATGGAGGGGGGAAGGAGAGAAGTGACGGGGATGTTACAGATTGTCTTTCTTTCCTTCTTTCACGGTGAACGAGGGCTTTGTCGGTGGGGGCGTCTTTAGGACCAAAGCCTAGGGGGCAAAATTCATTCCTCGTTTGCATGGAGAAGAAGGGAGAGGAGGAATGAATCCTAGTGAAGTTAGGGAATGATAGCCCCTCGGCATAGAGTCATGATTCGATAAGCTCATTATGTATTTACGGCGGAATTCCCTAAAATACTCTCAATTTTAGATTTAATTTCAATTCTGTCCCGAATTTCTTTTTTGTCAGAAAAAAAATATCAATTTTAGGTTCAGTCTCAAATCTATCCTGAACTTTAATTCTAGTCCGAATACACCCCGCTAGCCCTTTGTCTAAAAATCGTCGTTATTCGTCCCTAATTTCCCTAATTTTCTTATCAAAGAACGGTTTCGTTTTGGAGATAATTTTCCACATCACCTTACCGATGTAGATTTGTTACCGACATGAAAATACCACATCAAACAACTAATAGCAATTTCTGGACGGAGGTTGATGGAGGTATATTCGAGACTAGATTGAAAGTTGGTTTAATTTTTTTTAGACAAAAAGAAAGTTTGAGGCAGATTTGGGATTAAAGTTAAAGTTGGTAATTTTTTCAGACAAAAAAAAAAGTCCGGGGCAGATTTGGGACTAGACTCATATAGTTAGGAGTTTTTTAAATAAGAAAAAGTTCAGGGCAGAATCGAGACTGAACCTAACTTTTGAGGATTTTTTTAGACAAAAAAAAGTTCAGGACAGAATTGAAACTTAACCTAAAGTTTGAGGTTTTTTAGGGGATTAAGCCTGTATTAATGTGTTAATTTAAAAAAAAAACGGGTATGACTTGAATGTAACTTAGAACAAAATGCATCTATAGATTTCGAATCTTTGAAACCTACCTTATGTTAATAATATCTACTTTATAAGCTACTTAGTTAGCCATGTACGGCAGCTGTGCTCTCACCTCTATCACATATAGTCAAGAAAGATTTTTCACACGATGAACACACTGCATTTGCAGACAATATTTCACCACTAAGCACTAACTATATATAAATATTTATAGATACTATAACAGTCATGAACCTTTCGTTCAATCGATCAAGTTAGTCCTTTAAGTCCATATTTTGTTTCGATTGATTAACTTCCAATCATTTTCGATTTTGGTTAGTCAAGTCGTAGGCTCACTACCAATAGGAATTTCAGAGTGGACAACCACCACACATATGCTCACTTTGGCACTTGACTGACTAGATTTAAAATGTTTAGAACTGAAAGAATTTAAATGCAAGAAATTTTCAAGACTATTTTTCGCTTATCCCACTGTCATTATATTAAGTTTATATATAGAGAGAGAGAGAGAGAGAGAAACCCTAATGATGAAAGTGGGATACCATGTGAAGCTGCTGCGCACAACTTGTTGGCGAGGGAGGCAAAGTGGAAGATGGGTCATACTCATGTACACATTACACGCACCTCCGGTACTTTCCCCACTCATTTCTTATTCTCGCTCTCACGTCATCTCTCTTCAAACTCCTCTCTCTCTACTCCCTCCATTCAATCCGCTTTTCTGGGCTGCAAGAATCTTTGCCAAGATGATGTTGCGCAGATAAGACCAGACCAGACACTTCAGATCGAAGGGAAGAAAGAGAGGAGCACGCACACAGAGTTATATTATATATAATTGCTGTAAAGCTAAAGGATTGACAGCCATCATTCCAACACCACTTTACCAATAAAAAGGAAAAAGAAGAATGACCACAAACATTCGTGCCTTACCAAGTTAAAATAATTTTCTCATGCACTAGTATTAATCAAGCCATCTCCGCAAATACCAATGCAATACTAAGCTAGCTCTGTGATCTCTCCTCTTGCAATGAGGGAAGAAGATGCTGATACTAGACCATAGCCAAAACTTTTATGTGATGTATATACATTCTTTCGGATTTCTCCGGAATGTACTAATTTCTCCATTTAGAAACCTCTCAGGCGTATCCCCATGGATCAAGTAGCTAGGACAAGGTGAACAAAAAACCACAAGCACGGAAGAATTCAAGAAACCAATGAAATGAAGGAAAACAAAGCAACCAAACTCACTCAGGGGGATGACAGTAATTAAGAAAAATGAAGAAACCAACCATTTTACCTCTATCCGTTATCTAGCCTTTCATCATCCTAGAAACAAGTCACACACCACTGAGAGGGAAATATTTAAAAAGGAAAAATAAATCAAAGAAAAATCAAACTCATTCTGATCTCTTGCAAATGCTTTTCATGCAAAACGAGCTGCTATCTTTCTGTCATATGACCATGTCATCACCATGATCCTCCACCCAACAATCCACTCCAATACCCAGTTGATGAATTTCCATGCTGCCCCCTATTCATTTGCTCGAATTCAGCAGTCCTCGAAGGCGCTTGTTTGAACTCCCCAGCTTCAAGGCCAGCCAGAGAGAAATATTGGAGGGTTGGCTTGAGTTCTTGCATAGGAAACCCAGCTGGTGATGAATACATGCAGGCGCTTGAATCAGACCCGGGAATCGCCATTAAACTGCTCAGGGTCAAACCACTAGGACAAGTCCCACCGCTCTTTAGGAGCTCCATTGGGGAAGAAGAAGAGCTAGGGTTTGGAAGGTGGTGATTAATGGCAGCGTAAGCCTGAGCCGGCAAGTAGCTGGACAGGCTCACATCTTGGCCTTCATGGAGCTTATTATTAGGGTTTTGAGAGTCAGAGTACAGGATGGTTGGAGGTGGTGGAGTCAGATTGGGAATAATCTTGTTCTTTGATGATGGCGATGATGTTGAAGATGAAGATGATGATGGTCTCTTGTTCTTCCTTGACCCACCACCCACAGGTACATTTCTGAGAGAACCACCCTCAGTCCAGTACCTCCTACAGGTCTTGCAGAAATATCTGGGCTGAGAGAGACTGTAATTGTTGTAGTAACAAAACTTGGTGTGTGTGGAAGTGCACCTTGGGCAGTTTAAAGCTTGGTCCTTTTGAGGCCTTGACCTTAGGGCAGGCCTTGATGAGCCCTCCATGGCTTTAATAACCCCAATTCCCTGAACATCATTCCACACAAACAAAAAAAAAAAGAGAACAGTTAAAAGTGCCAAAGAAAACTGAAAAAAGTCTAGGACTCCATCATCCAACAGCATGAAAAAGATTGGATCACTCAGAATTTGTGGGGGAGGGAAAGAGAGAAATAGAAGAAAAGGAAAAAACACACTGGACAGAGAAAAGAAAACAAAAGCAGTTAACTTTTGACAACTTTGAGGGGGGTTATTACATGTTTACAAGGGCAAAAGAACAAAGAGGAACAACTTTCCCAGATCCCTTTATCAGAAGGTGGGAAAGAGAAAGAGAGAGAAAAAGAGTGCAGTACTTTCAACTGTAAGATAATGATGATGATGAAAGATTTCTTATTAAGAAAGAAAGCTACACACACAAAATTCAAAGCGGTAGTATTTAGTGGGAAGCTAAGCATCATTTCATGGGTGGAAAGAAAGTTAACTTTTTTGAGCAGATAAAATCAACCGAAAGCTTTTTCAAAGCTGAAACTTTTTCTTCTGCACACCTTGCGAAAATCTCCCACACACGCAGACACAGACACCAAAACACAGGGCAAATTAAATGATGATGATGATCAGAGAAAGAGAAACAACAACAAAATGTTTTTTGTCTTTACCTGTCGCCACTGAGCAGTATCCATGGGATAAAAAGGAAGAAAAAAGAGAGGGTTGAGTCACTCTCCTTCTCGAGCCTTCAGAATCAAAAAGATATGGAACACCTTTAAAGGGGTCCTTGCAGCTCCTCCTCCTCCTCTTCTTCTTCCCCTCTGCGTTGCCTTGTATAATCTTATCAGTGATGAGAGAGAGAGAGAGAGAGAGAGAGGAGAGAGAGAGAGAGAACGGGGGGGGGGGGGGCTAGTTTTGTCTATCAGTTAATCTTTCGCTGTCCCAATTAATTGTATGATGAAACATCACATGAAAATTCCCATAGACACGCGCTTTTTTCTTTAATTTTAAATCGACATCCGTATATCTTTTTGGGATTGGCAACTTTATTCTTCTTCAGAGGGTGTCTTGGTGCAAATCCTACGTGGACCTAAAGGTGGGAGCGTTCTTCCTTTCTGACCAAACCACACAAGAAGTGACTGAGAATTTTCCTCTCATTCTCATTCCCATTCCCATTCCCATTCTCCCTTCGCAATTATTTGCACGTTAATAAAAATTCTCTCTGAGAAAGAGAGAGAGAGAGAGTGCGCGCAGGTAGGTCGGCTATGCCACGCCCTCCCACGAAGCTAACTTGGGTCTTTGTTGCCGCCATCGCAGGAGCAGTGATGATGCCTATTCAAGTCCCCCCGCAGCACTAATGCTGACTAAACATGCAATTGCAGAGTGAACAGAAGCAGCCCTTTCATTGTTAGGTCATCAGACACAAAAGGAATCAAGAAGTCGTGACATGGGGCAAGGACTCATCAGCTTCATCATCTGTGCATGTTCATTAACCAGAAAGACAGGATGCTCGCGTCTCAACCAGTTGTTGCATGCCGATGAAAGTTCAAAGGGGTCCTCGTTTTTCTAGTGAGCATTACGGGTGGTGGAATGCTCTAGCATGCATTAGCTACAGCTAGGCGTTGACTTTTGGAGTCCCAATTGCGTAAGTCTGAATCTCTTTGGAGCTACGATGATGATTTATTTCCTAATAATCGAATGTGATGCTCGTCATTTGACGAGGGCTTGACTTGGTGGATGTCATTCTTTACTCGTCCACCGCATGATGAAATCCTCGTTGGTAGGTGATAGTCCACCGGCAACAGAATTTAGGTAAGATTATGACGCTCGGTCCCTTTGTCTTTCTCATCGACGTTCTTGCGCATGCGCGCCATACCGTGAATCGGATGTATTATGTGATGGAGAAATTTTCGAGACGTTAGTAGATGTGTCCATAGCCCCCAATGATACTGTAGCTAAAACTTCAGAAAATCTTAATTTGAGTCTCTTGATCTATCTCTACTTAGAGTTGATCAACACTTAACATTATTCCGGCGACAATAGAAACCTCTTATTGAACTCACCACAAATACGGGAAAGTTGTCCAAAAAGTCCTAAACCTATTGTACGACGGCCGATTCAGTCCTAAACATTTCAATGGTGACAATATAGTCCTAAACCTTTAAACAACTTATCAATTTATTTTTAAACCTTTTGATAATTTGTCAATTTAGTCCTAAATTTTTAAATGATTTGCCAATTTAGTCATTCTGATCAATTTTGGCCAAAAATCGTTAATGTGGCGGTCTGGTCAACGCCAACCATCTTACATGGACAATTTTTTCAATATGAACTTTTTTATAATTTTTTTCACTTTTTTTTCTTTCTTCTTTTCTTTCCTACTTCCTCTGGCTAGCAAGGGTCGAGTGAGGTCGAGTCCCACTAGTCCTCGCCTCTATTGGGTCGTTAGCCATCTCCGAGGCCCTACGACCAGCAAGAGGAACAAGGAAAGAAAAAAGAGAAAATTAAAAAAAAAAGGTGTAAAAATTGTTCACATTAGCTTTAGCCGTGCCACGTAAGATGACCAAATCAGCGATTTCCAGCCAAAATTGACCGAAAGGATTATATTGGCAAATCGTTAAAAAGTTTATGACTAAATTGACACAGTTGAAAGGTTTAGGACTAAATTAGCAAGTTGTCGAAATATTTAGGACTAAATTGGCAAAATTGAAAAGATTATGACTGAATTGGTCGCCGTACAATAAGTCCATGACTTTTTGATTAATTTTCCCCTACGGATACAAGTGTCTCGGTCTATGTAATTCATCTTAGGATTAGTAATACATTGTTTATGGTTTTGCGTGATTGAATAAGTTCGATTTGTTAAGCGTACCGAATTCAATAAACACAACTAGAGAGAAGATCCAATGATGAGAATTATAATGACTAATTAACTAGGGTGTCTTCGTTTTGCAGAAAATGAGTGATTTGAAAAATATTTTTTAAAAAATGATCGTTTATATCGTTTAGAAAAATAAATGAATGGTTAATTTTTTCATCGCTCACGAAAATAGTCAGGCATAGATTGTTATTCGATGATGATAATATTTTTCTTTGGCTAATTTTTCTAAATAATATAAATAATTATTTTTAAAATTATTTATTTTTCGCGAAACGAACACACAATAAAAGCAAGCAGCTAACCAGAGGTGGATCCAAAGAAGGGCCAGCCAGTGTAATTCGCCTCTTGACACTCAGGGTTCCGTACAATATTTTCTAAATTGGGCATTGAACTTCGAACAGATCTTTTGTAAGATTCCTCGATCCTATGTCCATCAATTTCACATCGCCTAAATATATGCCTATGGAATCGTGGATTTACGGTTATGAGAGTTGGACACTCTTTCAGAACTTACGCTTCAACTTTATATTCTTTTCTCTCTCTCTTTTTTTCGATCCTATGTCCATCAATTTCTCCCTTTTTTTGATTTCACATCTAAACTGTAAGCTTTACCTACAATTTATGAAAAAAGCTGCAAAAAAAAAACCTCAAATTATACCCACCGTAATATTTTTACTCTGCATTTTTTTGTGACATTAAAAACCTCAAACTATACCCGCTGCGACACATGTACAATAAACTTTTTCTTAAAAAACCTCAAATTTGTACTTATAAGACAAATTTACACTCCTTAAGATTTTACTAAATGATTTTTCAGCTAAAATAACGTTATTTTTATTTCATTTAAACCACGTGAGCACCATATCAACGCTATTTACTTTCTTGTCATCCATGTAGACATCTTTTTACCTGTTCTCGCGGATAGAACTTTGACGGAGGCACATGTACAAATTTAAAATTAACGTATTACAATGAATATAATTTAAGATATTTGATAGCTTCTATCCTAAAATTTTAGGTCTAGTTAACCAAATATCGAGACAGAGAGCCTAGGCATTGCAAAAGCTTCGAGGTGCGCCAATTGAGAGCGGCAGAACAGTCACCGTTAAGCTGCAGTGACGGCGCGGCTCGTAAGTCTAACTCTAGCCTTCCGCTCTTTACACGTTCCGACTGAGCACGCGACGGCACAGAAAACGTAGGCTAACTTATTATACGTTGGGGAACAGGTCTCGCAATGATTCATTCGACATAATTCGACACGAAAATTTAGAAAGAAAATCGAATCAGTTGCTAGTTAGCTCCCAAGGCAATTTCCTCGCAGGAAGAAAACGACCGCTGAACCGAAACCAGAATTGCAATTTCTCATTTTTCACATTTTACACAAGGACTAATAACGTGGGGTTGTCGACTAACACGTACCCCACGCAACGCACTAAACTGAAATCGTCGTCGAGGGGTCCCCAACCCGACATTACGATCGAATGGAAACATCCTCGAAGCCGGGACGTGGTATTTTACCAAGAAACAGCGGTGGTCCGATGTCTGCACACGTTCGCCCATGGTGTACCCGTCAATGAGGGGGCCTCTCATTTCACGGGACAACGTATGTTGTACAGAACCACAGATATTACCTGGAACTGGCGATCGGCTTGGTTTCTTGATAAAAAAAACAAGCACACGATACAGGAAGATAACATTCGAAACGAGGATATCACGCTACATTTGCATTCCGACGCAATAGGATCGAGTTAGTAGCTAGCCCCTTCTACTCGTTCTACTCGTTCAACTTGCAAACGTCAATGAACTTCTGAACCGCGTTGTGGTACTGAGTTCCCTGCAAAATAGTGATACGCAAGTAATTCTGGGGTTAGATGTAGAGGGTACAATTCTAGTAATTGGAGAATGGGGAGTTGAATATAATACGTGAAGAGTTTTTGACTTCTTAGAAGTGCAGTTGATCGAAGCAGGTTCCTTTTCAACAGGACTCGCAACACAATATGAGAAAATCAAGATCTGAAACAAATCAACCAAAGAAACAGGAAAAGAATGGGCAGACCCAAATCATACCTCCCAATATAGTTGGTTACAGTCCATGCACTGCCAAAATTCCAAATTCTTGTCAAACAGGCAGCTTGGAATTCTTTGGAAACCTTTTGCGGCTTCCGCAGCTTCTTCAGTTGATAGGGGCTTCTGAATGAACCTACCATTGCATTTGGTGCACCTAGACATCAAATCATCCTCGGAAATTTCTAATTGGAAAGCTCCTATTACCTGCAAAACATTCTCAAGATCAGTGTGTCTTGACCTCATGAAAATAACCGCTAACGCGCTTCAACAATTGATTGGTCCATTTTGGAACATCAATATGATAAGTGCCAGTCAATTGGTCCTGTCTAACTAAATTGGCATTGAAATTCCTGCATGCATACCTCCAGCAGCTGCTCATTTTTCAATAGACTATTCACCCTATATATTTGATTTTGCAACAGGTATTCGTGTCTCAACAACTTGGCATCTCGTGTAAGAAGAACTCTCTTCTCTTTATGTGCTTGTGCAATCAGCTCCCTGCAATAGTAGAAGAGAATGTCATTTCTCCCAAAAGAAGTTTTTTCAAGATTGCAAGTCACATGCAAGAGAGTAATTGGGAGCACACAGACGGGGGAAAAAGTCACAGGTGAGAGAAGAACCTGGGCTCTGGTTTCTTCGAATGAGGAATGGCAGCATCTATCCCAACACACCGAAGATGTTTTGCCAAGCCTTCAACCTGAGAAGAGGTTTTCTTCTATGAGAAAAGACAAAAAGATTTCAAGTCCTGCATCACACTGACAGGGAATCTGCAGTTCAAGTATAGATATTGAACACTTCAATGACGGAAGGTACAAGAGAATGCTGCTTTGACTACACAATCATGACATCTAGCCATATCTAGATCATGTTCTTCATTGGGAAATTAATATATGCCATTGGCGGAAACTTCAAGCATAAAAGAAAATGCTTACCATCACATCACACAGAAACTTGGGGCATCCATCACCACCCGTTGAAATATCCCATGGCGCTGGCCCTTGCCATTCATCAAAAGTTTCCCTCTTTTCTTTGGAAACAGAATTTAATGAAGATCTTTTTCTACCTTTCTTTTTGGAGGCTTTAGGTCTTCGATCAGATTCTTTTAGCAAAATCTTTTCCCCAAATTTTCTCACAACAAGCAGAAGTGCCTCATCCATGGGTTCAGTACTTCGAAAGGAGGACCTAAAAGATGCCTCATCTACTGTAACTATCCCATGAGGAAATTTAGCTGTAGTGGTCCGCAAGATGTGTAAAGCTTCAACAGATTTAATCCTCAGAATTGCACTACATGTATCAGGTTCTTTGAGAACTTCTTTCAATCCAAGATTCGTGTGATCAGAATGCAGGACCACATCACCGTTTAAACATTTTCCTAAAAAGAAAAAAATTAATCAATCAGAATAGAAAAAAAACCATCACCTAAAGCTGAGACATGTGGAAAAAAGGGAATGCTAACATAAGGCACATGCCTTTGTGCTGAAGAAGATGCTGCAAGTAGAGGGACAATTTACTGAAGAGATAAGAACCATCACAGTCCTCAGTCTTCCAAAACTAATACGTACATCCCTTTTTGACCCTATCTCCACAACATGTGAAGAGAAGCAAATTGTTTTGGCAGATTCAATTTTAACAGCACAAATGAAACTAAGTCGGAATAAAGAGGAATAATGCATTTGCAAAGCCATGTGACATATTTCAGGTGATCAGAGAATTTTCTTTGCATTATGAATGTCAAAGATATGTCACAGGAATTTTGGAAGTTCCAGCGGTACAACCTTTATTGATAATCTTGGCCTGAAAGACACTGAAAATTTCAAGCAAGCAGAGCGCATCTCTTGCTGCGTATTCTTTCTGCTCTTCCGTAAGAGGACGTTGTGACCAATCACTACATTGAAGTTCCTAAAGAGATTAATCACATTATCAACTTATTAAAAGAATTTTGCAGAAACAGCAACTGAATACCATAAGAGCAACCCTTGCTTCATCTAAATTACCTAACACATCTAAGGAATCATCATGAATTCTTCAGTATGCTTCAGATTTACAAATCAACATGGAATCTCTATGTAGAAGCAATATGAAAGCATATAAAATACATATTATTATAGCATAAGGAAATGCTAAAAGAAGCCTTGCTTGGGTTTTATCTTGAACAATAATCAAGTTCTACTAGTAGGTGCTGCTCAACACCAAGTGACATGCACATTCTCCTCACTCATAGTCCATTGATAATAGAGTCAATCCTCCTTCTACAGAAGTTCAAATATAGAATCCAGGAGCAAACCTTTGAAAGAGAATAGCCCAAAAGCTCTTCACAGATAGCAGACAGACTCTTTGAAACTTTAGCCGTCTTCCTTCCCGATTGCTTTTGTCGCAGAATATTATGCACACACATAATATCAATGTAGGGTTCCACCTGTCCAATGCTTAATAATAAATTAACCCGTAAAGTAAAATATCAGCATTTGATGATCGATCCTCCAAACTAACACCCAAAACAAATGTGCCAAGAGATTTTTCAAGAAGTAAGCCTTCATCCCATTGTGAGGAAAAAGAAGAAAACCCCTGCAATTTTTTTCAATTAATTCTAAGGCGGCGAGCAAGGCAACCCTCTTCGCCATCTAAGTCTTAACCAGTTTCTGCAATAGAAATGTATCCCTAAGCAGAAATTTGTCATGTATGCCGTTGGGGTAAATCACTTTCTACTCCAATCACACACAGCATTGTGACCAAAATATCCTGCAAAACATAATAAGCTAGATGGAGTTCAAGCATCTTGCTTTTGTCTCCCAGAACAAGCACTGACTTTACTTTGGTCACCAGCGAGAACTGCGGATGAGTGATGCGCCCACTAGAGCGGAATACCCACAATTAACTTGCATGCAACTGACCAATTTTGTAATAACATATGTCAACTAAGCAGACTCGTAGCAATCTTCCACGGTTCTTCAGCAAATTCTACTTGGAACGCGACATAATCAACGAACGTATATCCCTCCTCCAACATTTTGCAATGCATAACAACGTAAGAAGGCTCGAAGATCCTTCCGAGTCCCAACGCTCACCCGATCGAATCCAGGATCACATCCTTGAGCGCAGAAGGTGGAGGACAGGTAGACCAGATCCTGCTTGAATCTGAACCCGAGCTTCAGGACGTCGGGGGACGCGAAGACGTCCCGCAGGAGCTCCCAGACCGACGGCAGGGGGACCGACGACAGATCGAGGAGGAACACCGCGGGCTCCTCCGACGCGGCGGAGGCGGCGGCGGCGGCGAGGGGAGCCGGGCGGCAGGCGAGCTGGAGGAGCGTCACGGTGGGGAAGGCGGGCAGGGGGCGGGGGCCGCGGGCGGGCTTCCACTCGGCGTCGAGGGCGACGACGGAGGAGCGAGTCAGGGCCCGAGCGAGGTGAGCGAACTCGGGCGAGTCGGGGGCCGAGACGAGGTGGGTTTTGAGGGGCGCTCGGTGCTCGGAATCCATGAAGAGAGAAGCGAAGAGAAGAGAAGAGGAGGCGAAAAGAGCGATGGGATTCGTCCGTGCGCGGTTTAAGTGGAGAACCGACGTCGAATTGAATTAGTTTGGGCTACCGTTCGAGCCCGAATTAGAGAGCCGGCGTCACGATAGGCCCGTTAAATGAGCGGGTCGTGTCGGGCCGGATTGGATCGAATGTGATCCGACCCAAATTGATCCATTAGCGGTGAGCATGAATCCCGAGTAGATTTGGGAACCGGATCGAACCGACCCTAAAAATTGATTCGAACAACGAAAAAAATCGGAACCGATCATTGTGTGGTTCAGTTTTCCGGATAGTAATCGAACCGAACTTGACCGAGAACCGGTGATCCTGAATTCTCTCTTTTCATTCTTGCATCTTGTTTGTTGCCGCCTCTTGCTCTTAGCATTTGGTTTCTATTCTCTCTCTCCATCTAACCTCTCTCTCTACATGACAGGCTCGTTGAGATTAAGAGGGGGATTAAGACTTCACAACTAAAAACATCTCGTAGAAAAGGTAAAATCTCTCTCGATTCGTGAATTCCCAAAGTTTCTCGACTGATGATCAATTTTGAAATTCATCATCTTCGGTCACTTGAAGCGCAGCCTGCTTTCCAACGACAACACCCCTGGAAAACCTCCTATTGCTGGTTTGATCGCGTCTTCAAGGTGGGATTTGAATGATGTCTCAGTTCGCTTTGATTAAGAATAAAGGCTTGAAGATTTGGATGTTAATCTCTCACTTGCTTTGAGTATAAACACATTCATGAAACTGCTCACCACATTCACATTCCAAGTCTATGTGAATTTGTCTCTAGTAGGTTCCTGAGTAGACTATGGAACTAACCCTGAAACCGTTCGATTCCAGAGACTACAGAGTAGGTTCCAGGTTTCAAAAATTAGGAACCGATCCTGACATGGTAGGCTTCAGGTGAAACTTGGATCAACCCTGAAATCGCTTACCCTTCAATTTTACTAACCCATATATGACCTAACTTAGACCCGCCTCGAGCTAGCCAAATGGTTGGATTGAGTTGGATTTGGGTTAAATGGGCGGGTATGAGTATTATTGAAGTAATAGATCGATAATCGTGGCTACGTTCAATCTAGTTCTAGAATAAAGAGAAAATCGAAATTTTACGAATCAATCTCCACTCTTCATAATCCTTATAATTAGCACGTAGAGCATAGCAGAAACCGAATAAATGGCTACAACACGAAAACGAAAAAGGTCATGCGAATCAAATGGGCCTTGAGGAGCTAAGGCGTAGAAGGGAAAGGAAGTGCGATGCAATCCCTATATGGGCTGAGCCCACGGCCCGTGGCCCGACCCGGGAGCCCGGACGGCCGGGCATTGGCGCCACTCGGCTCGCTCGTTATTTACCGAATCCCGCAAAGTGGCGCCAAAACAGCAATTTCCGCGCGAAACCTCGCGGGCTTAAAATGACCCCCATGCCCCTCGACCGCGCTCACTGTACGGCCACCTCTCTCTGTCTCCGTCTCTGTCTCTGTCTCTCGTTCGCTCGCGTTCTTCGAGCTCACCGACGATCATGTCTCCATCGACGACGACGACGACCAAGACGCTGCTGGGTCGCCGGACCCGGGCGCCGAAGCCGCGCTCTCGACCCCCGTTCGAGGAGGACGACGGCGGCGGCGGCGGCGGCGACCGCTACGGCGACGTGCGGTGCGAGAGGTGCGGGTCGGGAGATTCCGGCGAGGAGCTGCTCCTCTGCGACGGGTGCGACCGAGGGTACCACCTGTTCTGCCTCCGGCCGGTCCTCGTGGCCGTGCCCAAAGGGTCGTGGTTTTGTCCCGCTTGCGCCAAGCGCAAGCATCTCAAATGTATGTTCTTTGGCTTTCGTTGCTTTAGCTCGATTTTTTTGTCGCTTGCTTGATCTGATTCAGGGTCGGTCTTGTTCGTTGTTTTGATCTGGGTTTGGCTTGGCTGGCTTCTTGAGGTCTGTGTTTTTTCTGGGGTTGATGTCGGGCGATTCTCAGTCGTGTCCGATTCGTGGAATTGGTTGCTTAGCTCTCGAAGATTTGATGGGTATTTTATTAAGATCTTGCTCAGGTTGATTCCAGCTGGATGTGATGCGCATTTTTCCTTTTGAATCGCCTTGGTGGTCGGATTGATAGATATACAGATCGACTGATGGTTCTCTTTACTTGTTGTTAGCTAAGAACTGATGAGATGCCCCTAATACCATCTCTTCAGTAGACCCTGAATTGAAACTATGTGATTGTCCTCTTTCAATTTTCAACCGCTAGAATGACAACTGAAAAAGGACGTGGATGCATTGAGTTGGAGCGATTCGGTTCTCTTTAGTATTCCTGTAGGCTCTATGAATGACCAAAAATGAATAATTGATGGGTTATGTAGATGGCTTCTCTTCATCCTCGAAATGACCGGATACAGAAATCTCTGCTCATTCATTGCCATCAATCTCGTTTTTGCAAACCCTTGTGCGTTTCTAATATGATTGTTTTGATGCAGCCTTTCCTCTTGTTCAGACCAAAATCATCGACTTCTTTCGCATCCAGACGACAAAGGAAGCGAGCCAAAAGTCAATTCATGGTAAGAGGATGTTTTACATCTCGCTCTGTGTTCTTCTGCACGCACTGGCGGCCCTGTCTCATGATTCACTGATATTTTGGCATCTTCTTCCATTTGCTTTTAAGATACCCATAAGAAGCGTAAGCGAAGCAGCAGCTTAGTGGTGTCGAAGAAAAAGAGGAAATTGCTTCCGTTCAATCCGAGTGAGGATCCTATTAGGAGATTGAAACAAATGGCTTCACTGGCAACGGCATTAACAGCTACTGGAGCTGAGTTCAGTAATGAGCTTACTTACGTGCCTGGCATGGCGCAGAGATCGGCCAACCAAGCAGCATTTGAACAGGGAGGGATGCAGGTAACTCGTTGACTAGCTATTTTAGGAAGAGATTTGATGCAATCGTGCAATGCGAGTCTTCATAAACCCGACTTTAGACAAGAAACCTGAATTGTATTGCTGATCTGCAATGAAAACTTTTCCCAATAAAGCAACAATAAATCAAGGGAAATACTATACAAAGCAAGTTGACTAATCCTTGGCTGCTGTTAAGCATTTTCTGTGCAAATTCCTGCTGGTCAACAATTATTGAACTTCTGGACATACTTGAGAATTTTGGTCTTCAAGTGATTATGCTATGTGGGATTTATGTTGTGTTGCTTTTATTTTCACAATGCGTAGAGTACTTTCATGTTCGGCAATCCATAGTAAAAACTTGCACATTCCAGGTCTTGCCAAAGGAAGATGTTGAAACCTTGAATTTGTGCAAGAGCATGATGGGAAGGGGGGAATGGCCGCCGCTCATGGTTGTGTTCGATCCTCAAGAGGGGTGAGAGCATACTTCTTGTTTACATTCATTGCCAATTTGATGTCTGTTCCTTTCGACGTGGTAGTTTTTCTCGATGCTTGCTACTCACAGCAGAATACTTAAATTAAATGTCAGGTTTACTGTCGAGGCTGATAGATTCATCAAGGATCTAACTATCATAACAGAGTATACTGGTGATGTGGATTACTTGAAGAATCGGGAACATGACGATGGGGATAGCATGATGACACTGCTTTCTGCTTCAAATCCTTCAAGAAGCCTTGTCATCTGCCCAGATAAGTGCGCCAACATAGCTCGATTCATCAATGGCATTAACAACCATACTCCGTAAGTCCATTACTGGTCGGCAATATATCTCTTACGGCATAACTATTCTAATAAACTCCATTTTGATGCAGGGAAGGGAAAAAGAAGCAGAACCTCAAGTGCGTGAGATTCGATGTTGATGGGGAGTGTCGGGTGCTACTGGTTGCTAACAGAGATATATCGAAGGGGGAGCGATTGTACTATGATTACAATGGACATGAGCATGAATACCCAACTGAACATTTTGTCTAGCCTCTGCTGCCGTTGTTCTCTGTCATAAGATGTAGGAAGAATTGACAACTAACAAGCCAATTGTATGCACACACAACACAAGGCACAACTCCACCTGTTGTTTATCAATTCACAATCTCAACACTGATAAATCAATGGCAAGAGAAATGAGGACCTTTTTGGTCAGACCGGTTTCTTCCATTTGACTGTTGTATGCGTTCTGTCCATCCTCACAGTGGATTAGCTCAGTCACATCATGACTATGCATGGGAATCATTATTCAGGCTATCTTGAGATCGTTTTACCTCACTTTGTATCGAAACTAAACACAGCATGTCCAAAGTTGAACCGGACATTAACAGGTGTATGTCACGCAGCAAACAATGGAACCATTGCAGTTGCCTAAATTCTCTATCAATTTCCACTGCTCTGCAATCTGTGATCATGATGCTGTTAGGGGACAACGTTGAGGCCCTTCTAAACTTGGTCCTGAACTAAATACACACAGGTGGTCGATTGCGGAAAAATGTTAGTGGCAACTTGATCACTGAAGGAAAATATTGTAGCTAGTGCATGTGAGTGTACCATTGTACCTCATGATGTGAGATCAGAATTGCAACATACAAGTTAGAACCAATGAGTTACAGACCAACTTTATTCTCAAGTCCACGGTCTAGGGCAATCAATAGCTGGGAATTGCCTGGCCATGTCGGCCCCAATGACTGCGCCACATTATGGGCCGAACTATCAACTTCACCAGTAATGAATCTGGGCTGATCTTTTGTCGAAAACTGGTCATGGTCATTCCTACAGTTGCTCAAGTTCTTGGCCCAACAAGAGAAGATGCAGTCTACTTATCGTTGCTGTGGATGGAGAAAATTCAGTGAAGGGACTCGTTGGATTCCTAGGTTGGGAATGGCGATGTGATTCATTCATGCATCAGTAATTGAGTTGTACAAAAGTGACTGTCAGTCCACTGAAGCACTTTCCTGTCCTCTCTTTCTCATGATGATGATTATTGATCAAATTTTGGACCACCCTGATTGGGTTCAAACCCAGCGCTCCTCTTATAGGGTGGTCCTAGAGATGGGCGACTTACCCATAAAAACCAAATTTGTACAAAATACGTAGCTGGCAGAAGCAAACTCGCAAGCACGGACGTAGGCTGTTATTAGCATTTGCCATTGGATCTGATCGTACATCAGAAAGCCATGACCCCACTTTGAGATGGAGATGGTCCCATTCGATTTTGTTGTTGCTGTGGAATTGAAAGTGGCCAGCGTTCGCCGTCCGATTTCGATCCGAATGTCGCAGCGAAAAAGAACTGGTGGTCCAAATTGAAGTTAGGATCTTCAGAAATCAAATGTGCTCTGTTTTTTCTTTTGGGAGTTTGGGTGTTGCATGGTGCCGGTGGCGGAATGCAGGTGATATTATGTCACTCTGAGAGACTTTTGATTAAATCAGAAGATCAGATCCCATTGACTATGAGCCCTCTTGCGCTTGCCCTTCGCTCTAGATCTCCTGTTTGTCTTGGCCCAAAATGACAGCAGAGTCCTTTTGTTTTGCAGAACTCTGTGCGGCTCCATAATTGCTGTTGGTTCGTTCGGGACAAAATGCTGGAAATCATGGGCTGCTGGTTACAATCCTGTGAACACTCGGTAACATCTAGTAACTGTACAAGAAAAAAGAGCATGGTCGTTAAAAAGTTCTACGCGGTTTACTTGGTCGTTTCGTTTCATGTGAACGAGTCCTAAGCGATAAAAGCTATCGTACGTTATCCGTTCCGCGATTACTCTAGTTTCTACCTAGGTAAACCAATAAATTCGTGTATCAATGACGTGACGTAGGTTCAAATTCTTCAATGTTTCTGCAGCATCTTTTCCCGATTCAAAAATGCGCAACAGGAAAGGAACACTTTCGCGAGAAACAGAGTGACAAAAGGTCCCAAATGGTTAAAGGACAAACGAGTCGGGTATGAGTTAGTGGGCAGTGGGCACTCATCACATTAAACAGAGCACTGCAGGCAAATGCACCCATCAACCCCACCACCTCCTTTTTAGTGGCAAACCAGCAGTAGTCTCCAAGCACCACCACCACCACCACCACCACCACCACCAACACATGTTAGGCACCACGGTTTAGTTCCTAAAGAACTGTTCAAGAAAAGAACCGCAAAAGCATGTAATCACATGTTTCTTTGGAAATCTCCTCCGGTTAAATCGGATCTTTACACGCGAAAGATTCTATACATTATGTAATGTAACCCCATTAGTTAAAACAGATGATGGGACTCGGTGAATATGGTAATGCGAAAATGGGTTAGAGAAGCACACAGAATAACGAGAAGAGATGGTGTCGATAGAGGCGATATTGGGCATGGCGTTTGACTAGGCCTATCTGGGCTCAAGAAGTTAAATTTTTCCTTTTCGGTCCGGCCGCCCGCCCGAGTCCGATCAGTCTTATGTGGAAGCTTTCGGTTTCTTTGATCACGGATGGGCCCAAGCAAGAATTTACAATCCTGGTATCAGCACTTAATCGGGTCTAAAGTATTCGAACTCTCTAATTCCCGTTTAAAATACCGCGTTTTCCTATAGTACGAGGCATTCAGGCCTTTCAAACTAACATCATCACATGTTTCGAGTCATGAAGTGGACCACAATGCCATATCAAGCATGTGTTTGGCCATAGGACGCATCCAACCGTGGTATGTGCTAGGCTCGACTCGCTTTACACGTCGATATCAAAAGATCTCTCTCTCTCTCTAAACTTAAACTTGTAGTTCTGCATCTTGCAAGGCATGCTTTTTTTCCTTTTTTGCCTTTGTAGATGAGGAGCATCCGTGCCCACAATGAATTCTTGTCTAAAAATAGGAATGGGAGTGGCACTTCGCCCTAAACAGATGTGGGCAATCTCCGGAAAGTCAACTGTTTCAAGCTGTCTATCGGCCGACTGTCGATTGATGGACGTATTCAATGCATTGAGAGTACCCCCCCAAGAGCGCCAGCTTTCGTGTAGTTTTTATCATAGCTTTGGAAGAAGGTAGTCCTTGGGTTCGAGCATGCATGCATGTGCTTGGTCCCCGTCTCTTCTTTTTAGGGATACAATCCCTCCTAGTTGGCGCAGTCGATTGAGACGACGCGGGCATTTTTATTTAAGGATTGTAGATCGCAAATTTGGACCCTACCGGTCACGCGCAAGCTGCTCTGGATTAGAGCCACCTATATTAAGTCAAAGGCCCGAGCTTAATTTAGCCCATACAAATTGCGGCCCTTGAGAACTATTGTGATATGGACACCGAATGTGTCGCATTCAACGCATTCAACCCGATCCCCCGAACTTTGTAGGTTAGTTACTTTCCGTTTTTGAGATAACATTAGCAAAAATACTCTTACCTATGATCTTCTGGATAGTTTTTTTTATCTCGTGACCCATAACGAACCTAAGTTCTACCTTCCACGTAAACATTGGAATCCCAGATGTGAGTGGAACTTCTTAAGTGGTTTTGATATACCTTTCAATTGCCTCTCTTTCTAATCTTACATTATACACGTCCCGTCTTATTATCTTTTTTTTTTTAAGTAACAAGATACTCTCTTTAAACTGTCAGTTCAATCGAATGTTAAACGGATGCATGCAAGCCGCTCCACTCACCCGCATCAGATAAAAGCTCCATGCGTCCGTAAACTGATGAATGCGAGAGTTTATTTTGACAGATTAGACGTCGCGATTTAGACACAAAATCTGGAGCATCCAAATCGACCTCTCGACAAGCCCTCCAAGAGATGATGACATGGGATGGAAAAAAGGGTATTATTCCTAAAGCTCCCATCTCCCGCAGTATCCGACGATAAGGCTTGACTTAAGAGGTAGATATCCACAGCAGATATATATTAATGAACAGAAAGCTAGATTTGTCTCCACCCAGTTCAGAACAAACAAAGCTTTTTTTTCCGACTCGAATAACGCTAGGTCACTGACTGAAGGGAGCGCTGTCCAATGTTTGGTTGGAACATGTTACCGAAGAGTCACTGTTCATCAATCAACCTGCGGAAAATGGAAGCGAATCGCACCTCCTCTTCTCTTCATCGCATCGGCCATTTCTTTAATGGTGTCGGCTGCCAACTTTGTGGAGTAGATTAGGGACATTCATGTGGCCTGTATGAACCCTTCGTAGAGAGAGAGAGAGAGAGAGAGAGAGAGAGGGGATAAGACGAAAACGGTGGATTCATAAAGAAAGAGGAGAAAGAACGTAGGGGGTGGTGAAGAGGGGACCCGCAAACCCTAGAAGAAAATCTTCGCGATAATGCAATCTCGAAATTTTTTTTAAAAGGTGATAAAAAGGAAAGAAGAAGGAAGTGGGGGTACCCGGAAAATAAATTTAGGAAAGGGAAAGGAGGAAACCTCCTAAGCAAGAGGTAAAACTGCTTCGTCTGAAATCTCATCCGCACCAGCAAGAGGATATTCCTTCATTATTCCATAAAGTCATGTGCAGAATTTTCCGATCTATCTTGGCTAATGTCCAAATTTATATTGATTATATCCTCCTTTACAGCCCCGATGAGGATTCTCATTAACTGTTAGACGAATGGTTGGTTGTAGTAAAAGTACTGTAGCATTGTACTGTAGCAAAATACTGTAACAAAGTATTGTAGCAGTCACTGTTAATTACTGTAGCTATACAAACATACAGGGAGAGATTAGGGAGTTGGGCATGCGGGTACCGGCACGTTAAAATAAGGAACACAATCTGGCAGCCCGCCGCCTTAATGGACAGGCACATACAGCCCCAATTGGTTAGAAACAGCCCCTGGTCTGGTGAGTTTATCAGTGTGAAGAGGGGATCCGCAAACCCTAAAAAAAAAAAATTCATGTGATATTTTTTTAAAAGGAGATAAAAAGAAAGAAAGAAGTGGGCGGTTCCCGAAAAATAAATTTAGAAGAGGGAAAAGGAGGAAAAAAGAAAAATCAAAGGGAAGTCAACCGTGGGGATCGAGAATCTGGTGCTGGTATGATCGAGCAAAAGCATTGCAGCACGAACAGGAACGAAGTACTCCGAATATGCGAAGACAGATTATTAAGGCTAGAATCTTGGGAGGGCGTGGATTATACCAAAAGGATAAGATTTGTTGCTTTCAAAAGAAGGCATACTGAATTTAGGGTTAAATAGATAATTATTCCGTGTGCCGACAGTGGAAACGACC